AAATTAAGTGGATATTCATGATTAGTTTGGTATTTAAAAGTTTAAGACTTGTTTAAATCAGTCTTCCATGTGAAGTTTTAAAACCACACCTTAAGCAGGTCTTGAACTAAGAACCAATGGGACCGAAACCCAGTCTATATGCAGTGAGCCACTCAAGCACATGAGCCACTCAAGCACATGCCAAAACTTCTTCAAATACCCCAAAGTCAGTTTTCCATCTGAACTTTTACAACCATGCCTTAATCGGGCCTTGAACTGAGAACCATCAAGACTTTTTACATTCCAAACCAAAATTTATGACCTGCAGCTAGACCTGATGGCCCTCTGTCTTAGTTATTCAACAAGAAACTGATTTGTATTTTAAACAAACTCGCACAAAATCTAATGCCAAATAAAAACTATAAGTTTGGATCTAAAACTGCAGTTGTTGTCTATTCTAGAAAAGTTGTTTTAGAATACCTAAAATATTTTAAAAGTAAAGTAGTTTCCTAATCCTATTATATCACAGCAAAATAAAGTGCATGCCAATAGTATGGTTAAAGACTACTTATTTAGAACGTGCTGTTTATGCTTAAGGGGACCATCTTAATACATTTGATTATCCAGAAAAGACTTTTCTTACAAGTTTTAGTGTTTACTGAACTCTTAAACCAACACTAAAGATTTTACTGATTTTGATAAGAAAGACGTTTCTGTGGCTGGAAACTCCCGTCTGAAGGGCCTCCTTAGTAATTTATGTGAGTTCAGAGAGTCATCAGCTGCCACAGCTTGGATCCTTATCTAAGTTTGCCTCACATAAAGTGTACCTTAAATGTTCACGCTACTTCTAATATTTCATAAGCATAAATGTTGACTATCTTTTAAAGTTATGCTAACCAGACTGATATTCTCAACATTCCTCCTTTTGATCTCTAACCCAGAGATCACCCACCAAATGGGCCAATACTCACCTGGGAGGAAACACATAAGCAAGTATGAGAAAAATCAACCATAAGTCATCAAACATTAACAATCAGCTCCACCACTCCACCTTCCAAAGCACCACAAAAGAACAGCAGTAAAAAGAATACAACACAACAGAAAATACTGCAGAGGAAAAACAACCAGCCACCCGCTAAACACCAACTAAAAAGAACAGGCCTTCCCAACCTCAGTTCAATCAAAAGAAGAAGAAATACATCACAGAACATCATCACTAAATCATGAAAAACATAAAAGTGTCCATGTCACCTAAAAAGCAGTAAGAAAATAAATTCAACCTTACACAACAAATGACATAAAATAAAACATCCTAGGACAGTAACAACATCAAAACATAACAATGTTGTGGAGAGAACAAGAACAGAAAAATTATACAGATACAGTCACAAAATTACATGTTAAACAATAATGTTCTTTCTTTATTATAGTTGTTGCTTCATCTCCGTAAAACTGTTCCTGAAAAATATAAAGTCTTTAGTGAAGAAAAATGAAAAAAAGACTTGAGAAAAAAAAATGTTCGCAACAGTTCGCAAGAGTTCGCAACTCCTCCATTCGTGAACCCGATAGTTTATTGGGCTTCCATCCTCATAGCCTCCACTTGAATATGCGATGCTCACTGAATATTGGATTATTATGCCAATATAACAATGAGTGTCAATTGGAAAAAACCCCGAAAAGGATTATTATGCCTTTTCGGGCCTTAAAACCTCAAACTCCAGGAACCAGAACCTATAGCAAGAATGAACCTGCTACACTCCTGGCCTAGACTGTGGCTCCTCCTCCGGGTCAGACTGGGGATGAGAATGCTCCTCCACCCCTGGTGTAAACTGAAGATCCTCCTCTGTCATGCGGTTCTTCTCCTCCGTCAGCTCCGCCCTCTCCCTGGAGGCCTGGAACCGCCGGGAACGCTGCCACTTCATTTTGGCCCGAGGAGTCGCTCCGTCGATGACCCTCAGCCTAACCCAGTTGATCCCTGGTGTAGATTTCGAGTCCGACCTCTCCTGCGACCCCTGGTACTCTGTAAACTCCGCCGCTAATATCTGAAACTCATTAAAACATCTTTATGAGATAAATGTAAAGGCTCACCTGTCCATTCAAGAGTTCTGGCGTCTGGTCCTGGAAACCTCCTTCCAGTCTGACGCTCGTACGGAGAGAACCCTGTAAATTTATTAACGGACATCCTAACAGACATCAAAACAACAGGCAATATAACAGGCAATGCAATTACCCCATTAAATTTGGTCTGTGCACAGATTATAGCCTATTTTCTTGATTGTATTGATTCAAACTCTGAACTTTACCTGGTGATTGTGGATGACATACTGTACCAAAGAACATGTTCATCACAGCATTTGTTCCACTTTCCGGGGCTCCTGATTCCTGAAATGTGTAGCATCAACCTACCTGATTAGTTCCAGGAAGCCATGACTGGAATATAATGAGTAATCAAGCCCTTGATGACAGTTTTTACTGTCCTCCTTTTTAGGTGGTCATGCTTCCAGCCATCCTGACAAATGGCTCCTCTTGCTTTCCAGATAGATAGTTCTTCTGAAGAAACCTCTGTTGATTTTGCATGATTTTATCAAGATGGTTCTGTTCCACCTGTTCAATATCAATACTTACCATCAACAAAGACGGTAAATATCCAGCTCTGCCAACATCCTTTCAGCCATGTTCACTCCATCATGTAGAAAAGTGATATTAGGAGATTCCAAGATCTTCCTCAATCTCTGTTCTCTCAGGGTTGTCACTGTGAAATGTTGTGAGTTCACATATGCAACTACACTGTGTGATGTCATTACCTGCAGTGGATGAACCGTCACAATGTGGCTGTTTTTTTGTTGTTTTCAATAATCTTACCCACTCCTGCTGCTTGCCTTATACATCCAGGATGTCTTTTCTCCATGGGATCCAGCTTTGCACTTACATTCTGGAGAACCTTCCTCTCTCCCCCTGTTTTCTGAAACAGAACTGCATTCCTGCATTCAGAGAGTCAGCAGCTGCCACAGCTTGGATCCTTATCTAAGTTTGCCTCACATAAAGTGTACCTTAAATGTTCACGCTACTCCTAATATTTTATAAGCATAAATGTTGACTATCTTTTAAAGTTATGCTAACCAGACTTATATTCTCAACATTCCTCCTTTTGATCTCTAACCCAGAGATCACCCACCAAATGGGCCAATACTCACCTGGGAGGAAACACATAAGCAAGTATGAGAAAAATCAACCATAAGTCATCAAACATTAACAATCAGCTCCACCACTCCACCTTCCAAAGCACCACAAAAGAACAGCAGTAAAAAGAATACAACACAACAGAAAATACTGCAGAGAAAAAACAACCAGCCACCCGCTAAACACCAACTAAAAAGAACAGGCCTTCCCAACCTCAGTTCAATCAAAAGAAGAAGAAATACATCACAGAACATCATCACAAAATCATGAAAAACATAAAAGTGTCCATGTCACCTAAAAAGCAGTAAGAAAATAAATTCAACCTTACACAACAAATGACATAAAGTAAAACATCCCAGGACAGTAACAACATCAAAACATAACAATGTTGTGGAGAGAACAAGAATAGAAAAATTATACATATACAGTCACAAAATTACATGTTAAACAATAATGTTCTTTCTTTATTATAGTTGTTGCTTCGTCTCCATAAACTGTTCCTGAAAAATATAAAGACTTTAGTGAAGAAAAATAAAAAAAGACTGAAAGAAATGTGAGTTCACATATGCCACTACACTGTGTGATGTCATTACCTGCAGTGGATGAAACCTCACAATGTGTTGTTTTCAATAATCTTAGCCACTCCTGCTGCATGCCTTATACATCCAGGATGTCTTTTCTCCATGGGATCCAGCTTTGCACTTACATTCTGGAGAATATAAGCACCATGAGGACCAAAGCACAGTCTCTATGCAGTGTGCCAACCAAGCACCTGGCAACCTTGATGCTCGAACATCTACAAAAATCACATTTTTAATTTTAAAACAATGCCTTAAGCAGGTCTTGAACAAAGAATTGATGGGACCAAAGCCCGGTCTCCATCCAGTGTGCTAACTGAGCACCTGCCAACCTTCACGCTCAGACTTGTACAAATACAGCAAGTTTCAATCACATCAAATAAGTTGCTCAATGTTTCATATTTTATGGTTGAAAACAGTTGAAATCCAGGACAAAATGTCTATTTTATCTGCCTTTTTTCAAAGTCACCATTGCCAGCAGAAAAGATAAATGTGCTACAAGAAATGTCTGCAGTGTAGTAGATGCTGTGGTCAGTCACCTGTCACTCGTTACATGGAGATCAAAACACTTCAACATACGTTTCTAAAATTGTGCAAGATTGTGTGGTGTACAGGTGAAAGAATTCGACTTCAAGGACAAGGGTTCAAATCCTGGAAAGTAAAGGGGTAGATCGAGATAAGAGGTTGAATTAATCTATCGCTCCTCTGGCAATAAGTCTACTCCTTGCTGTAGTACATTTTTACACAGACTGAAGTTGAAGATTTCCCCAACTGGGATTTGAACCCACAGCACTTTATTGTGTGGGCCAACCAAACTGAAAGCTGTCTACTTTGTCTTTGAAGACTATCAGAAAACTAAAGGGAAGCTTAAACATTGAATAATCTTGTTGCTTCATATCAATAAAGTTGTCAGCAGAACTTCCTGCTCCCAGGACTTGAACCTACGAGATCCCAGTCTCTTTCTTTCTGTTCTGGGGAACAATAGGCTGTTTGTATACAGAGAGGCGATGCTGAAGAAAGCAGGGAAAGTTGAGCCAAAAGGTAGGAAGAGTGTAATAAAACAGCAGATAACAGTTGCCGTTCCTAGTGGACACAGTCAAAAACCTTAAAGCCTGTGAAAGCCTTTCATAAATGTAGAGCAACTCATCGGCCTGACTCCTAATTTTGTGCATCGTTCCCTCTAGATGGTCTCTCTCCCCCTCGGTCCGACATGCTTTAACTTGAGGCGGCTTAACGGGATTATTGTAACTTTGGCCCGCGTACCTCGACACCCTCGGGGAAGTGCGATCTCTCCAAAGGAGGAGCGAGACGAGGAGGAAAGATGCAATCAGATTAAAAGGGGACAAGAATGAACAATCAAGGAGAGACGAGCGTCCCTAAGAATAGAATACAAATGGAGTGAAGGAGAGCGAGTTGCACTGAGTGGAGGACGGAAGGGAGGCAGAGGGGGGGGACAGGGGACTTAAGACCTGCAGGAGCATGAATAAAAGAGCGAGTGGGACTGAAGGGGAAAGAAATTGTCTCTGACAGGAGGAAGGAGAGAAAGTCTTGTTGTAGAATGTGAGAGCAGACCTGGTGCCACCTTTGAGGAATGTGTGGAAAAACAGAAACATAGCAGGGATGACAAAAAGCCTGCACAGACACAGTTGGAGAACGAGGAGAAAAGAGACCCTGCTTTGAATGCCGACGACCTTTACAACCTCGATTTAACCATAAAGGTGTAGACAGACTGCTTCCCTTGCCTGCAGAGGAATCTGTCCGTTATTTGGTCTTGGTCAGTGAACTTGACATCAAGCTAATGTCCTGTAATCTATATTTGACCTTTATAAATATTATTAGAGAATCAGATCCAACCGGCAGCATCCTGTCAGGGTGGGGCCACTGTTTGCATCCTAAACGACTCATGGAAAACTGAGGTGAGTTCAGAAAACAGGAAAAGAGACAGAAAGCCCAGAGTCTTCAGTCACCTTGGATCAAACAGATTCTTCCAACGAGAAAGAGTCAGAAAGTTGCTTCTGCGGATCTTGATAAGTTATGCATGTGCTTCGCAGCGGGAGGTCCCTGGTGGTTTACCAATATAGCATCAAGCAGGCCTCTGTGGTAATTAAAAATGCTCCTGCACTGTGAGCGCGCGGCATTAACGTGAACCAAACACGGCGACGGCTTATGAGCTCAGAGGGACCGGCGCGTCTTGGCCGAGCAGAAAATAGAAGGACGGCGCGGCGCACTGCGGGCTGCTCGTTAGGAGAGACCCGTACAGACTGTCACTGAGAGCAGGCTGCGCGCTGGCTGCGCGCTGCCAGGCCGGAGCCAGAGGGTCAGAAGCGTGGCGCGATAATAATTAAGGCACTTATTCAAATGAACAGGGAACAGATGAGAGAGGGAGGGAGACAGACCCAAAGGAAGAAGCCTGTCTGGCTGCACGATGGAGATAAAGTGGATGCCACGCGTTTTAGGGCTGCAGACAAAAACAGGACGTGAACTCTACGCATTCGCGCATGTGTGTGTGTGTGTGGGGTGTGTGTGTGCGCTCCTGAACAAAGCCCGACTGTGTGAGCCCAACGCAGGGAGCAACAGCTGTCTGAGGCAGCGCACCATGTGTGGGAGCAGAGACTGAGATTTGGGATGGTGGCTCTGCAGGGACGCGCCCGGTCCGGTCCGGTCCGGTCCAGTCTGGGTTTCGGCCGTGCGCCAGAAGACGAGGCCGAAAACCTGCAGCTCTGAACTCTGTGGCCTGACAGGTGGCGAAATGTCACCGACACGGAGTAAAGTGTGCATCACTCACTCGCGCTTGTCTCCTCGCATCAGTGGCAGCATTTCCTCCTCCACTGGACGTCACCCCGGTTTCCGCAGCAGGATAATCAGGAGCGATTCTGATTATCCTGTGTTTGAATGTTTATCTCCGCCTGCCTCGCTGCAAACCTTCCTGTCTCCAGGAAGCCGGTAGCTTTTCACTGACCTCATGCAAACATCTGCTCCTTCTTTGGATGCCAGAACAAGTTCAGGGCCAAACCTCTGGGAGCCCAACTCTGATACAACAACACACTCTGTCATCCTGCAACAAACGTTTCAATCACCACCAAAATATCCGCCTAGATTTCAAACACACAATAGAGTTGCACCACCTGAAGCACACTGACGATAAAAACACAGTCAGGCAATAAGACATAGATGTTTACTTCAGTTTGTTAAAGAACAAACTGCTAATTCAACAGGGCTGATGACATCACACGAGGGACAAGAATCGAGCCAATCAGCTGCAGTTAGTTGAGTTAAAGAGGCGACTTTACAGTAAATACAGCACCAGAGTTAAGATTGAGATGTTGTCCATCTCCAGCCAGGAAATGCGTGACTCTAAAGTCTCACTGTGCGCCTGAGTGAATGAACGCAGCAGCGAACTGGTTCAATCTGCTCATTATTGTTACAGCTGTAAATGTGCAAACTGTACACAATACACTCAAACGCCTTTTAGGGACATTTCTGACAAATTAAAAACAAACAAACAAGTAAACACACTGAAAAGAAGTCTGACCGCCTTCTGTGACGTCACTAGATGCACATCCACCCGAAAGCTTATTTAAAAGTTAAAGTATTTTCAATACATTTGCAGCAGAACAAATAATAATAACAATAAAAAATCTGACCGTGACATGTTAGGAAGGAGACAAACTGTGTCTAAATTGACTTTGACTGATTCCTCAGAAAACAAGTCTGGCTGGTCGCTTTAAAAATAGGATCCTAACCCCAAAGCGTTAAACTAATTGGCTGAGTGTTTATCTTAATCCAGCCAATGAAACCATCAGAAATAACAGGATCGGTTCAGCTGCAGAGAGCCAGCGCTCCCTTTGCATGAGTACTTCTGGTTCCCACTTACATTGCATGAGTAAAATAACAATAGGAAGACACAGGGACGTCCCCTCCATTGTCGTCCACAACTCTGGCTGAATCTCGTCTTCCGTGGACGGCGCGGGGGGACGCGGATCGCGGAGCCTCGGCGGTCTTCTCACACTTGTTCACAACTCTCCGATCGTTCATCCAGGATCCGGGGAACAAACCGCCGTCCAGACCGGGGCGGGCGGGCGGAGGGACGGAGGGGAAGGAACCGGACTGCCCCGGAGGGGGGCTGCTGTCACAGCGGGAAGAGCGGGACGCAGCGCGGCGGCGGCGGAGACGTCGGGCAGGGAATGGCGAGCATCGGTCACTGTCTCGGACGCGAATCAATGTTCCGGTTCTCCTCTTCTTTCTTTCTCGTGCCGAGCTGTTTCAGCGCTGATTGAGATAGAGGGGAGAGAGAGAAAGAGAGAGAGAGATGGAGAGAGAGAGAGAGAGAAGGGGAGGCGGAGCGCTTAGAGCGCAGCGCCGCGTCCAGAGACGCGCACTGCACCGGCTCCATCCTCACGCATGAACTCGATGTGGGTAAATGTTGGACAAAAATAATCTCATCATTCAATTCTAATTTGCACAACTGTCATATTTCTGATCAGTACAAAAAACCCACAAAAGGAATCCAGAAAATACAAAAGAACAAAAAAAAAAAAAACATCCCTTTTCGTTTTTCACCACTTTACAGCCATAAACCTTCATTATTGATTGCAATTTTACACAGTAGAAAATAAATACCAGCCAAACAAATCCTAACAGCGGTACATAGTGGTGGGGAAATGTCTAACTCTGCAACCAGTCCAAACCCAAAATACCTGCAGCCACTGTGAGCAGAGAGAAGCAGTTTTCAAGTAACATTTATTGAAATCTTGCTTTTTCTTCCTCATCACTTTGCGTTGCCACTTGCACGATGAAATACACAGATAGAGAGATAACAGATGTTAAGATCCATGGACACGTCGGCCTTAATGTCAATTCAAAATATCTCAAGACGGGCAAGGATTTAAAGAGGCAAAAGCAAACGAGGTGGATTAGCACTAATGGGGAGTAAAAATGCTAATACTTGTGTCATCCAGGACAAGCTGTTGTGGAATGTTGTTGGCAGGAAGCCGAGTCTTTAATCAGAGGTACAATCAGATTTGTCACAATACTGACTGCTACAGGAGATTCTTTCTACTGGCAGCGTAACGAGCCACAAAGATTCTTAGAAGATACTTTAACACAAGTTACTTCAACATTTAATTACTTTTTGGAATACAATTCAATTTCAGGAATGTTTGTCACTTTAAATTTGGCATAAAAGTTACGTCTTAATACTGTTAAATTAAATCGTTTCCCCTTTTTATGATGCATTAAGACAGAGAAACTTAAAACCATTAATAAACCGAATATGAACAGAGTAAACAATCAAGGCCAGTTAGAGAATGTGTCTCCTCTCTGCTGCAACAAAAACTTCAGCTTACTTTGTATCATCTGCTAAATGTTTCTCCTGTTCACTCACACAGACTACTTTGTGATGGCGTGATGTCAGTCACCATCCAAACCAGCAAAACCTCCTAAACACACACTCTGTAACTAGAAGGAAACAGAATATGAAGCTAAACTCGATCCTGATGCTGCTAAACTCGCTGTCTGACATTACAAAAGGACTTTATGATTTAATATCTGGATTGCAGAGGCATTCAGGGCACACATTCAAGCTCCTCAGCTGGTGCAGGCGCTGGACCCTAAGTGTGCAGCACATGGCCCGGGGTGTGTCTCTTGGAGCGGGATGCCTGATCGGCGCCAACAGCTGCGGCGAGCATTTCTGATGGGACTTCTGTGGGATAAGAGACAGATGATTACTTTCTGCGCCGATTTATCAGAAGTGGAATTTCCCCAACAAAGATGACGCACCTCTTGGGTCAAGTTCATCACTGCACTTCTGGCGAAAACAAGTCAAAAGACTCCAGCTCAGCCGCTTCTGTGAAACTCGGAGGGTCAGGAGCCACCTGTCTGAACACTGACACACACAACAGCTGCGGCTACACACACACACATGCACACACACATGCACACACACAGGGCCTTTGTTGCAAAGAGCAGACACATGTCACTTTATTTATTTTGGCTCATTTGTTTACAGCTGCAAGGATCACAAAAATGAAGCCGATTTGTGGCTCATGTTGAGCATTTATTGAACAAACGATACATGGTTGAGGGTCTGCATGGGGTGGAAGGCCATCACTGGCTTGCTGGAGGCCGAGCCGAGTCAGCAGAGGGGGGTGGAGTCGATTCTGGTTTCTCTCCTGCTTCTACCTGCAGAAGTGGAACAAGAAGAAGGAAAAACAGAAAAGGGTGGTCATTTATTCACGAAGGTGTACCAATGACAAAGCGTCCAGGCGCGGGGTCGTGATGCAGGTTTGGGGCGTGGGCGGCGGCGTCTGGAGCGCCAGCTGGAGGCAGACGGGGGACGCGGCTCCCTGCTGCCTGCAGACGGCTGACGCAGCGCATCCGCCCACGCCTTCTGCTGCTCTCCAGCCGCCCCGGCCTTGTCCTGCGCACCGGCGGGCGACACGTCCAGGATTCAGGCCTCCACAAAACAACAGCAAAACCGCACTGCCCTGAGATAAACACAAGACGGTGTTGTGTGTGGCAGAACAGAAGATTTGTCTTCCTGATTCATTGGAGTGTGTCTGTTTCTTTAAAAATAAATAAATAAAATCTGGGAAAGACAAGAGAACGTGCATATTAACCAGAGCAGGTAGAGATGCACCGATCTGATGTGAAAAAAAAGTATTGATTGAATATCTCTAAATATTTGTTTCTGCTTTAGAAATGATTTAACAATCAATGTTGCACTTGTTATTTCTTTATTATTACAGCAATCAAAGCATTTTTTTTTTTTACCAATCTTTAAATGACATCACTATGTCTTTGGTATTAAAAAGTTGAAAACTGAAGGATTATTTTCAAATAAACTATAATTCACATCATTTGTTTCCTGATATGCTGGAATAAATGTCCTTGTCAGAAGTTTCTAACTAACTGGTGGCGTATCGGCTTTGCCACCATATGGCAGCCAGAGGACAATCAGGACGCTGCCCTCTGCATGCACACACACACACCCACCCACACACACACACACTGAGAGCTGCATCTATTAGACTCAGGTGTTAAAAAAACAGCAGACGACAAAAAGGAAGAGCAAAAGCTCTTGCATCGCTCAGGCTGCGATGATAGAAGTCTTATTTCAGGAAATGTAGGCCAGGCAGCACACAATGTCATCAGCTGCCAAGTTAAGAGTTTCTATAAACAAACACCTTTTTTCGTTTTTTTTTACCCCTCTAAGTTACGCAATCGCTGGTGCCAGAAAGGCTGCAGCAAAAAATGTGTTTCGCCAACATGGATCCTAAATTAACTCTTAGCCTACTTTACATTTGCAGAATCTTCTGCTGCAGGGCGGCCGAGGCGTTCATCATGGAGAAATGAGACTTTTCCAGACCCGAATTAATGATCCACACGCAATTTTAAAATATAGAATACTGAGCCGGGCCAGAGGTTTAGGATGGAAACTCCTGCAGTGAGAAAGCTTTAAATACAAAACCTGAAAGAAACAAAGTGTGAGGAAAGAAGGAAGGACACAAGGAAGAAACTTAGAATTCAAGGAAGACAAAAGGAAGAGTTTGAAGAAATGAAGGAAGGAAAGATCTAAAGGAAGAAAGGAAGTGTAATCAAAGAAGGAGACAAGTCTAGAAGTGAGGAAGGAATTGACCTGAGGATGTTAGGGTACAAGATGGGAATTTAGACAGTGCAGCAGGAAATAAATGTTTTTCTATGCTCTTATCTTTGTTCATTTTTATCCAGACCTGGAAAACGATGAAATCAAATGACATAATGTTTGATCCTTTTCCCGGCTGTGTAGGAAACAGAGCAGATTGTCCTCTGCGTCGCTCCAAATCTCCGCCCATTTGCAGCTCTGAACTTGGAGCGGTTTAAAAATACTTCTTCCCTTGGATCTCCAGTTAGCGCCTGTGTTTTTGATGCTGCGCTCACACCAGCAGGATGGGACCTGCTGTTTCTGAAAGATTACAGCCCACCATGCATCTCCTCTGCCTTTTTTTTTGTGTGTGTGTTGTTGCCAGCATTAGAATGAAGGCAATAAAAATAGCAGTGGTAAATCCTAACCTCTGGCTGCAGCTAGGGAGCTGGCGAAACCTGCAGCAGGCAGTTGTTTGGACACCCGTCCAATAAGCCCTGAAACGCTGAGAGGCTCCTGTCAGCTGGCTGCGTGAGGTAGAGAACCCAAATGTTTACTGTCCTTACCAGCTTCTCTGCCCGCTGCCTCAGTCTCCTCCAGACCGTGTGATGAGCCTGCAGAAAGGAAGAGGAAACGTGACATGATGCAGGCACATGTGCACAAACAGAGCGCATATTCCTGCGTCTGCAGCCGAGTCGCATCACTGTGGAAACGGCCGACTGCTTTCTGTCTGTTGTTAACTTGCTATCAATTGCAAATGAACCACAGGGGTTTATTTTTTCTCGAAATGTTCTTGATGTTTCTTTGTATACTTGCTTTATGCAGACATTTGTTTATATTTGCAAACAAACACGACACACATCATCAAGAAAACTCTGCAAATGGAAGCACGTTCTCTAAAAACAGTCCCTTTTACCGTTAAGAAAATAGATAAAAACAGATTTGAAGTCATTAAAACAAGGAAACATACAGAGTACAATGAATAAAATGTATAAAATGTAGTGCAACACCGAACTAGGACTCATTCGTTTTACTTTATTTTACCGTTTTTACTTTAATCGTTTGAAAACAATAAAAAAAACCACTTGAATTTACAAACTGAACCATATAATAATGACAAGTTTTGTTCTCCTGACAAGGAAACATAAGAAGAAGCTTATTAAAAGCTAAAAATGTTCATCTGTTCAAGGTTTTGTGCTGCTTCAGTCGTGATTAAATGCATGTAAAGTGATGCTTTGCTATGAAAAGTTCCTAAAAGTACGGAAGTATTGATCGCACATTCAAAAGAATTTCAGCTATTAACTTTGACACCTCTAATTTTGACTAGAACATATTTTGCATCTACATAAAAAATATGATTACAAGATTCTTAAATAATTTCATTTTAAACCTCCCCTGACATTTCCAGACAAATACAAAACTAAAGAAATGACAAGTATGAAAGGATGGAAAATTAAAGAGACGAGGAAGGAAGAATGAACTGATCCTGACCAGATGGAAAGAAAGAGGGAAGGATAGAATGAAGGTGGAAAGAAGGACATAAGGTCATAAGAGAAGTAGGATAAGAGGTGGGAAGAAAGGAGACAACATAGGAGTTAGAAACCAAAGGAAAGGAAGAAAGTCAGCTAGAAGGAAGAAAGTAGTGTCATCCAGTTAATCTCAAAATGATTCTCGTTTAGCAGTAACAACACATGCAGTTCAAATAAACCTTGTCCTTTCTGTAGGTCATCTAGTTAAAGGCTGGTATCTTCTAGAAATCCACTTAAAAAGTTAATAATACAAAGTAACTAATTTCAATGACATCATGCAAGCTTTGCTTTAATTCTACTACTTTTTGTATCGAACCAAAAAGAAACAGAACTAAGCAGAGAACGTGTTGCAGAACCATGACAGAACAACAGATTTCCTGTAAAAACAGGAAGGGAGTTAAGGGAGTTACAGATTTATGAAAAATAATTGAGACTTCTTCTCATTTTCATGTCTGCAAGATTTACAGAATAAAGTAGAAGCACTTTGAGTAAGAGCCAATACAAAAGGCGTGCATTAACGTTGCTTTCTCCTGCAAGAATGAATAAATGTAACTTTGGTTTCAAGAATCAGAATGATGCCCAGTTCCTGTTTTCTTCTGAGAAGATCCTCCATAGGGTGGAAAAGCCTTTTAAAAGGTGAACACAAAAGAGGAAACTTTGGTTGTTTCCTAGAGGGAAGTTCGATCGAAGTGGACAAAGATCCCTGCTGCTTTCCGCTTCTCCGTTCTTCTCCAGACCAGGAAAACACTGAAGACCGTTGAGGAAGAACGTGACTGCAGCTGATGCTGCAGATGCTGAGCAGGCTACTGGGGGAAAAAAACTGCTGAACCAGTTCAGTTCAACAGAGCAGTGCAGAGGAAAACATGTTGTAGCTTCTATCCTCTACAACACTGAGCTGCATTTACACCAATAGAAAAGAGAAGATCTGATCCAGTTTAGTGGTGTGGAGCTCTTTCCTTCATCTTATCTTGAATGAATCCATTTAATATGGACACAAAGCTCCTTCTAATCTAATACATTAAATACAGCAATCAAACAGCACCCCCTCCTGGTTAAAGAGGGAACAGGGCTTTAAATATCAGTTAACTGGACCAAAAATAATTGATTTTTGATGGCCAATATTGATTAAATGAAATTCTTTCAAAATTAATAATAAAAAAAAAAACAATAGTAAAAAAAAATCCATAAAGTGCAGCAAAAATGTAGCTTTATTCCAGATAAATAAATAAAAACTTCCATTAAGCGGACAGTAAATAATTTATAAAAAATACTTCAATTTTTTTAAATTAAAAAAGTAAAAAATAAATAAGATCCATAAACTGAACAAAAACGTACTTTGTGGAAATTCCACATAATAAAAAAACTTCCATTAACATGATTATTTTCATTCAAATTAGTGGAATAGTAAATAATTTATAATCACATCCAATATTTATCATGATGATGACTGAAAAACAGTCTAAATTAGGTGCAGTTAATGTAATTAAAAGCTTAAAAGGGGCAGAAATTTTCTGGGCTTAGATCAGCCTACCTGCAGCTGCAGAGGCAGAGAGAGGCCCTGCGTTCTGCGGTGATGACCCCAGGGCCCCTGACCCAAGCTGTGCATGGCTGTCACCTCATACTGGGAGCACAGGCCTGTTCTGGCCACTAGAGGGCCCCCACTCAGCAGCACATGATCACCACATCTAAAAAAAATACAGACAGATGGTCAAGTTGAGGAAAAATAAATAACCAAATAAGAAAGTTGTAATAATCACCTGTAGAGCATGACTGTGCCTTTAGGACTGTCTGATGCTTTCTGTTCTACTTCCTCCTGTTTACACCTGAGATACCGAAAGATAGAAAGTGAGGAAACACATTTTTTGTTGTTGTTGTTGTGAGTTGGACGTGTTCCAAGTCAATCTGGACCTGCTATGTGAGAAAACCTCCAGCGCCACTGAGGACACCACCTCCAGAGGCTCCCAGGCCAGGTTCTGATGGATCAGCTGCTGGGCGCCGCGGGTCAGAGAACGCAGAGACTCCTGTGAGCACACGACCCCATTAACCCACAAACACGTCCCACAAACTCCTAAATACTCGCTTTTCTGCGACGTGAACTCAAATGGTACCAAGTTTCACAGACACAGAAAGGAAACTTGTTTCTGATTCAAAATGGTTCCGTTTTGATCTCAGTTACCAGCGATGGAGTCCAGGAGTCCAGCTGAGGGTCGAGGACGACGTCACAGCAGAACGCCCCTGAAGTCACTGCAGGAAGTTACAAAAAAGAACCAAGTGTGAATCATTTGCGTTCTAAAGAAATATTGACCCATAAGAAAAACATTATTAAGACGAAAAGGTCTTGTTTCTCATTGTCTGTGGGTGTTCCTCCACCTGGGACCTCCGGTGTGCTGAGCAGCTCCACGGTGTAATCGTCCTTAAACGCCGTCTCCAGGACTTGGCCAAGCAGGGCGGAGCAGGAACGCCAGTACGCCTGAAAGGCAGAGAGACATTAATAACTTTCCCAAACCAAATTCCAGCCCTGAAAAATTGAGTTTTTGCTGTACCTCATTGAGGAGAGTCGGGTCGCTGTCGTTGAACGTGAGCAGAGTGAGGGTGCAGGAGTCGGCGAGGGGCCGGTTGAGCGGCCACAGCTCTCCGTCCACAAGCGCCAATGCCGAATTGTTCACATGATACTCAGTCAGATCTGAGGGAACCGCATAAATATGTAAGTGTAACCCGAGTGTAATTTTAAACCTTCAATTCCTCTGATTTTCTACTCTTTTGCCTTTTAGCCTCAAATCTCGCGATGTTTTAATAGTATTATGATTGATTCTCGCGAGATTATCGTTTAGCCAATCGCGGTTGAGTACTGGGGTCACATGTACCTTTCCAGTTTACCGGCTAGGTATATTAGCTCAAGCGAAAGGGCGTGAAGGGTAGAACGCGTTGGAAGGAGCAGAGCTGGCAGGATCCCATTATTGTGAGCCGGAAAGTGAGATGAAAAAGATCCGGTAGTATGACACAAAACTGCGGAACTGGCCAGGTGGATGGTGAGCTATGAGACCAGGCCTAGAGCCAAAGAAAGATTTCACCTGTTGGTGACAGAGGACTGCTTGCTTCTCCTACCCCAGCTGGTAGGAGAATCCTACGGAGAACTCTGTTCCTTCTTTGATTGGACTTTCAATTACCAGGATGTGAACCACGCCCTGGATACTCCCCTTGTTTGCAAGCCTGATTAATCCCCATTCGGGGTGGATGGACTAAGGGGTTGTAAAATGAACTTTGGGAACGATTGATTAATTTGTTTTTTCCCCTTTGTTGTGTTTCTTCTTTTCTCCTCTGTTTTCCTTTTTATTTCATTGTTTTGTTTTTTTTCCCTTGATGGCCATTTGCATATCCCAATGTTGTGGTTGTAAATATGTATATATGATATTCACATTGCAAATACAAAACACTCGCAGCTGCAAAACTCTAGCCTAACTGCTCTTTCGTGAGTCGTACCTATTCTTCTGAAAGGAAACTGGCCTATTATCTTGGTTAAAAGCCATTTATATTGAATAACAATTTAGATTGTCTTTTCAAATATGCTACATACATTAGTGGTGAGCTAGCCAGGAGCAGTTGTATAGAAGCTGGAGTGTTGCAGTTGCTAGTTGTTGCTAATATGGATGTTTTGGTGAAATGTGGTGTTAAAATACCTAACGCAGTGTTGATTAGACATGCAACGAACTCAGAGACTGATAATGAAGTGGCTGATTTTCTGACTGGATACGGGTCAGTGGAAAAGTTTGAATTTATAACTGATTCTGACTCAGATTTCTATAACTGCATAATTTTTGAGTTTTCATCAGGGAGTGCGTTGGAGAGGCTGCGTAAAATCTTGCCTTACACGTATGTTTGCCAAACTAAAAAAATTACTTATGAAATTGAAGAGCTGTCAGTAGTTTGCTCCGAGTTAGAAACTAAAATAATACTGAAACATACCTGAGTGAAATGAAAAATGTGGCTAAGCTTACAGGTCAGGATTACACAGATGTCTTCAGGCGTGTAATGTCTCTACTGGGCCAATCCATCACTGAACTTTGTCCAGTCCCATCTTCTTTGAAGACTTCCCCAGAAGAAGAGGATTTGGCCATGGCTGCTTCCCTTACATCAAAGATGGCAACCAAGGGTGGTTTTCATCTTAAGCCAGAAGATGTCGCTGCAGAGGATGGGGAGTCGCCACATGTTCAACCTGATCCTACCGCACATTATACGTCACGTCCTTCTGGACCTTTGCCAGCCATGTCTTTGTCAGATATCAACCCACCTGGAGTCCAGAGGTATGTGGTTGAGCATATCATGAAAAGTGATGACAATGCAATACACATGTCCTCATTGAAGCTTAGATCATTTCTGGTCGAACTCCAAGACCACAACATGAAACAGACTATGAAACTTGGCGATCCAGTGTTGACCTACTGTTAAAAGACCCTGTTGTATCAGAACTACAGCGTTCTAGAAGGATATTTGACAGTTTGTTACCACCAGCTGCAGACATGGTTAAACATCTTCAACCGGATGCTCCTCCTTTAATTTACCTCAGAATCTTGGATTCTGCCTATGGAACGGTCCAAGATGGCGATGAACTGTATGCAAAATTCATGGAGCAGTTTCAAGACGCAGGTGAAAAGCCATCCGTTTATTTACAACGCTTGCAAGTGACTCTAAACCATGCCTTACGGAGGGGTGGAGTATTGGCTGCTGATTTTGAAAAGCATCTGCTGAATCAATTCTGTCGTGGATGTTGGGATAACACCTTAATTTCTGAGCTCCAGCTTAAACAGCGCAAGTCAAAACCACCGTCTTTTGCAGAATTGTTGTTGTTGCTAAGAACAGAAGAAGACAGAGAAGCTGCCAAAGCTCAGCGTATGAAACAGCATCTTGGTTCCAGTAAACCCAGGGCTAGTGTACATTTACATCATGCTTGTGCACCAGTTGAAGAACAAAGTGCTTATGATAATTTGACTGTTATCACCAAGCAACTTGCCAAGCAGTTGGCTGATATACAAAAACAATTGGCTGCTCTTACAAGTGTTCAGTCTGGTCAGAACCCGCCCATTTTGCCAAAATCTATGCATGTTGCCAAGTTCAGTCAGTCTCCACAAACTAGTAAAAGTGTGTCTCAACCCTCTCTCAAAAAAACATCTTCATCACCCAAGCCAGGTTACTGCTACAACTGTGGGGAAGATGGACATATAAAACCTAAGTGTGACAACCCTCCTGATCCTTTACTGGTTGCTGCCAAAAAGAAACAGTTAATGGAAAAGCAGAAGAAGTGGCAGAAAATGAACCCGCATAGTGCCCTGTCGTTAAACTGAATCAGGTTCTCGTTGAGGGGCGAACGGGAACTGCAGAGGACCAGCAAAGTCCCACCAAGCAGACACCTATAAGATGCACTAATTTGTCTCATGTAACTCCTGAGGCTGCAGAATTGCCACAAGGGTTGATTGGCTCAAAATGTACTGGTCAAGTAATAATAGCTGGGGAGCAAGTTCAATGCCTGTTAGATACAGGATCCCAAGTTACTACAATACCAGTTTCATTTTACAATCAGTATTTTTCTCATCAACCTGTGAAACCATTAAGTGAGCTATTACAAGTAGAGGGAGCTGCAGGCCAAGCTGTCCCATACTTAGGGTATATAGAAATGACGGTCATTTTTCCCAAAGAGTTTATTGGCACTGATCTGGATGTTTGTACTCTGGCACTTGTGGTTCCAGATGTTAAAAGTGGAACTCAGTCCCATGTTCTGATAGGAATGAACACTCTTGATTCATTGTATGACAAACATCTGAAAGATGAACGTGTTAGCTTTAGCCCAGCAAAGTATTGCTATAAAGCTGTTCTCAAGCTGCTTCAGTTGCGTCATCAGCAGACCCAAGAACCCAGTGTATGTGACGTAGCATTAGATAGTGAGTCGCCTGCAGTTATTTCAGCAGGCCATACCAGAGTTCTAGAAGGGAATGCCCATACCAGCTTTGCTGCCGGTTAGCAGTTGGGCATTAGTTGAGCAGCCATCTACTCCTTTGCCGGGAGGATTGTGTGTGAAAAGTTGTCTGGTGTCATTGCCCAAGCATACACCTCATAAGATCCCAGTGGGTTATCACAAATGAGTCAAAACAGCATAACATTGTCACCGTCTGCTATTATTGCAGAAATTACAGTGTCACCTCAGCTTCTTTCTGAGGTTTCCTGTAGTAATGTGCAGCTCAGGAACACTGACAAAGTTGATCTCCAGTTTGAATTTGGAAATTCTCCAGTGTCTCCTGATTGGAAAGATCACATTATTGCTAAACTCAAAAGAAATACCAGAAGTGTTTTCTCATCATGACCTTGACTTTGGATGTACTGATCGGGTGAAGCATCACACATCCATCTTCATGATGAGACCCCATTTAAACATCGTGCTCGCCCTATACATCCAATGACATTGAAGCTGTTCGCAATCATTTGCGAGATCTTTTGGAGACAGGGGTAATAAGAGAATCAGAGTCACCATTCTCTTCACCGATAGTAGTCGTTCGGAAGAAGAGTGGAGATGTTCGGCTTTGTATAGATTATAGAAAGTTGAATCTACAAACAGTGAAGGATGCCTATGCATTGCCAAATTTGGAAGAGTCATTTTCGGCTCTCACTGGTTCACGCTGGTTCAGTGTTCTTGATCTGAAGTCAGGCTATTATCAGATTGAAATGGAGGAAGGTGATAAGCCTAAAACTGCATTTGTGACCCCACTTGGGTTTTGGGAATTTAATAGAATGCCCCAAGGTGTGACTAATGCACCAAGCACTTTTCAGCGTCTTATGGAGAAGTGCATGGGTGATTTGCATTTAAAAGAAGTTTTAGTCTTCTTGGATGATTTGATTATATTCTCTGACACTCTAGAAGAGCATGAGAGTAGGTTGATAAGAGTGCTGCATCGACTTAGAGATTATGGCCTTAAATTATCACCACAAAAATGTAAGTTTTTCCAAACTTCTGTGCGTTATTTAGGCCATGTAGTTTCTGAGCATGGGGTTGAAACGGATCCAGAAAAGATAAGTGCTTTAAATCCTGGCCAGTTCCTCAAACTTTAAAAGAACTGCGATCATTTCTCGGATTTGCGGGGTATTACCGCAGGTTCATAAATGGCTACGCTGCTATTGCTAAGCCTCTAAATGACTTGACAAGGGGGTATTCTCCTGCTCGCAAATGTGTCAGTAAAACAACCATCACAATGAAAAACCATGATGCAAAACAACCTTTTAATGAAAGGTGGACTGCACAGTGTCAATCTGCTTTTGAAACATTGATTGACAAACTGACTACAGCTCCAGTACTTGGTTTTGCTAACCCAAGCCATCCTTACATTCTGCATACAGACGCCAGCACCACTGGGTTGGGGGCTGCTCTTTATCAAGAACAAGAGGGAAAGCTACGAGTTATAGCATATGCTAGCCGAGGGTTGTCTGCCAGTGAAGCTAGATATCCAGCCCATAAATTGGAATTTTTAGCATTAAAATGGAGTGTAACTGAAAAATTCCATGATTATCTTTATGGCTCCAGTTTCACTGTTGTTACTGATAACAATCCATTAACATATGTCTTGACCTCTGCTAAACTTGATGCTGCTAGTCATCGATGGCTTGCTGCACTGTCTACATATGATTTTAAATTGCAGTACCGTGCTGGCAGCCAAAACAGAGATGCTGATGCCCTCTCCAGGAGACCACATCCCCAAACACCTGACCCACAAAGAGAATGGGCCATGGTACAGCAATTCATCACAACCCATATGAATGAAATGGAGGATGCTACAGAACTCACCTCAGATGTGATCAGAGCCATTTGTCACAGCTGTCTACTGAGAGGCCAAAGTCTGGATGGTCCTTTGGAGAGAAACATTACTCTAGTGGAAACTGTGAGTATGACCCCTACAGTTCTCCCTGACTTATACATGGATGAGACCCAAGGATTGCCAGTGCTTCCATCACTGTCCCTTCATGACATCAGGGAGAAACAGAGAGCTGATCCTGTTTTGAAAGAAGTTATTCATCAGCTTGAAACAGGAGAGAAAATCCCTCCAACTGTCAGGGCTGAGCTTCCTGACCTTCCTCTGGTGATGAGAGAATGGAAACGTCTTGAACTAAAAGATGACATTTTATATAGGAGGAGGCAGGATGGTGAAGTCCTATCATTTCAGCTTGTGTTGCCAGAGGAATGCCGTTCTGTTGTTCTTTCAAGCCTTCATGATGATATGGGGCACATGGGGATTGAAAGAACACTTGACCTTGTAAGAGCTAGGTTTTTCTGGCCACGCATGTCTGTAGATGTAGAAAACAAGATTAAAACTTGCAATCGCTGCATTCGTCGGAAAGCTTTGCCAGAACGAGCTGCACCATTGGTGAATATCCAGACAAGCCGGCCACTTGAGCTCCTGTGCATGGATTATCTATCAATTGAACCTGATAAAAGCAACACTAAAAACATTCTTGTCCTCACAGATCATTTTACTAAGTATGCTATGGCTTTTCCAACAGCCAATCAAAAAGCGAAGACCGTTGCAAAATGTCTGTGGGAGAATTTTGTGTGCATTATGGGTTTCCTGAACGCCTGCACACGGATCAAGGGCCTGATTTCGAGTCTCACCTCATTAAAGAGCTCTGCAACATCGCTGGCATTAAAAAGTCACACACCACGCCATACCATCCCCGTGGGAATCCTGTTGAAAGGTTCAATAGAACTTTGCTCAGTATGCTGGGTACTTTGGAGCCAGAGCAGAAAACTAGATGGAAAGAGTATGTCAAGCCACTTGTTCATGCTTATAATTGCACCCGAAATGAGGTTACAGGTTTTACTCCATATGAGTTGATGTTTGGTCGCTGTCCAAGACTTCCTGTTGACATGGCTTTCAACTTGCCTGTCAAAGAGTTATCATCTCAATCACATTCTCAATATGTGCAGAACCTGCGTTCTCGGCTGAAGGAAAGTTTTCAGCTAGCTTCTAAAAATGCAGAAAAGATGGCAAGAAGAAACAAGATTCGTTTTGATCAGAGAGTAAAACCAGCAAGTCTTGAAAAAGGTGATAGAGTATTAGTCCGAAATGTGAGGTTCAGAGGCAAGCATAAGCTGGAGGATAAGTGGGAGACAAACATCTATGTAGTGATTGGTCGTGTGGGTGAGCTTCCTGTGTATATTGTAAGACCAGAAACAGATCCCTCTGGAGGGGACCCGGACTCTGCACCGCGACCTTCTTCTCCCTTGTGGATTTCTTCCTCAGACTGAAGTTGACCCACCAGTTTCCACACCGGCTCATAGGCCGCAGACCCGCAGTCTACAAGAACCAGTGGAAGAATTGGAGGAAAGCCCAGATGAGGAGGATGAGGACTGGAGGGCATCTCGATTTTCAGTTTTACCAACTGTGAAGGTCAGTGTTGAGGGGACATGCCCTACCCAGCCCATAAATAGAGTCTCAGTTCCTGAGATGGAAAAAGAGAATCCTTCATCTGATGAGGATAAGCCGTCTCTACTGTTTGATGCTATGGATCCACTTCCAGCCCTGGAAAAAGTTCCTTCACAAGATCAGATGGACCCAGGAAATTCACCTGAACTTGAACATGTTCCTGAGCTAAGCCATCTGAAGATTTGGAGAGCCATGGCCCAGTAGAGACATTACCAAATTCGACCATGCCAGCATCACATTCCACAGAATCACCAAAAGATGCTCATCAGGCTAGTGATGGTTTAAAAGCTGAACAGTCAATTCGTCGGTCTAGTCGAGAGCCAAAACCAATTAAGCGCTTTCAGTATGCTGCTTTAGGAAATCCTTTAATTTCTGTAGTGCAAAATCTTTTACACAGTCTAGCTACTGCTTATGGTGAAATGGTTGCTGAACCTGTTTCAGATGCTCCTGTGCATCATAGTGTTCAGATAATTTAGCATGCACCGGTGTTGCATGGAATTAAGGGGGGAGGATGTAACCCGAGTGTAATTTTAAACCTTCAATTCCTCTGATTTTCTACTCTTTTGCCTTTTAGCCTCAAATCTCGCGATGTTTTAATAGTATTATGATTGATTCTCGCGAGATTATCGTTTAGCCAATCGCGGTTGAGTACTGGGGTCACATGTACCTTTCCAGTTTACCGGCTAGGTATATTAGCTCAAGCGAAAGGGCGTGAAGGGTAGAACGCGTTGGAAGGAGCAGAGCTGGCAGGATCCCATTATTGTGAGCCGGAAAGTGAGATGAAAAAGATCCGGTAGTATGACACAAAACTGCGGAACTGGCCAGGTGGATGGTGAGCTATGAGACCAGGCCTAGAGCCAAAGAAAGATTTCACCTGTTGGTGACAGAGGACTGCTTGCTTCTCCTACCCAGCTGGTAGGAGAATCCTACGGAGAACTCTGTTCCTTCTTTGATTGGACTTTCAATTACCCAGGATGTGAACCACGCCCTGGATACTCCCCTTGTTTGCAAGCCTGATTAATCCCCATTCGGGGTGGATGGACTAAGGGGTTGTAAAATGAACTTTGGGAACGATTGATTAATTTGTTTTTTTCCCCTTTGTTGTGTTTCTTCTTTTCTCCTCTGTTTTCCTTTTTATTTCATTGTTTTGTTTTTTTTCCCTTGATGGCCATTTGCATATCCCAATGTTGTGGTTGTAAATATGTATATATATATTCACATTGCAAATACAAAACACTCGCAGCTGCAAAACTCTAGCCTAACTGCTCTTTCGTGAGTCGTACCTATTCTTCTGAAAGGAAACTGGCCTATTATCTTGGTTAAAAGCCATTTATATTGAATAACAATTTAGATTGTCTTTTCAAATATGCTACATAAGCCCAGCTTGTTTCCCCTTTAGCTTCAGAGTCCGGTGTCTCCTTTTATACTTACGTCTGGCGCAGCTCAGTGGAGTGGACATGCCTTTGTTCATGATCAGGAGTGTGCCGTCCAGGCCAGGCCCCCTCAGGGACACCTCGATCTTCTCGATGCGGGGGAACAGAGCTCTCTGCCTTTCCTGCTCTCTGGAGAACACGGCGTTGCGGTGACCGCGTATCTCTGCGGGTGACGGACGCAGAGCCGCTGCAGCGGACGAAAACCCTGAGAGTGGAACGAGACGGAGGATTTAAACAGAAAGACAGAAGATGAGGAAGTTTCCATGAAATATATGAACTACAATTTTTTGAAAAAAATCTGGACTTTTTCCTCGTGAAGCTGTTTTATTGTGGATTTGCTGCAATGTTTGGAATCACTGTCCTTCACCTCTTCTATGTTTTCACAATCGGCAAAGAAATGCTTTTATTACATATTCCATGTTTAATATGACAGAATATTAATGATCCTGTAATGACAGAATATTAATTATTCTGTAATATTAAAATACAATATATGCCAAACATTTACAAATATGTGTTCATGTCTTATAAAAATACAGGAAAAATAAACTTTATACATTCTGACAGTAAATGAAATGGAGTAATTGAAAGATTTAAAAAATTAAATATAGGACCTAATTATTAAAACAATGCGAATGGAATGAAAAATTCAATAATGTTGAAAATGGTTAATTTACATTTTGGTCGCACTGTATTCGAGTAATTTTGTATTGTTTTTTGGATACAATATTTAGTACATTAACTACATTATTATGCCTTTATTTCTACATTTAATGCCAACTTTGCCGTCCACAAAACAGACGACTTTAATGACAACAGACCTCATCCTATAGGAAGTACTGCAAGAAAGCAGTTTGTCAACAGTGGTTTTTGTGTTTATCTACAATTCCTTCATATTTACTAATTATCGTTGTCTCTAGCATGCTATCATGCTAACAGCTACTTACGCCTCCTGACAACTTGGCACGCGGTCCTTGTCGCCATTGTTCCGGGTATTAATACAATTAGTAGAGAAAACAGCTAAAATCAAATCCTGTAGAACAGTAAAGAGAAAAAAGAAAGAACTTTCGAGCTAGACGCGGTTATAGTTGAAGGACGCCATGCATAAGCCGTGTGCACCACATATTGATGTCCGATGTGTGACGGAAACTGAACGTTCCGTGTGAGAGGAACTAAACTGCAATTCTACTTGCTGACACCAGATGTCACTGTTGGTGCCAAAACAATAACGTCTTAATGAATGATTAAGATGTTATTGTTTAATGACAAAGCATATGAGGTGAATAGATTAAATAATCGTGATAAATTAATGCAATTATTAATTAAGTAATGTTTCAGTTTTAGTGTGGATAGAGATGTCAACAATGAGACATAAATATCCACATTAAATGCAATTTCTAGAATGAATTTCATTTGCATAAACATGAATATAGACCTTTCTCTTTTCACACTTTTTCTCAACGGACATATTTATCTTTAATTCTGTACATTTGCTTTTACTGGCCGCCATCATTACTTCTGTTGAGTCTCAGTTGGAACTATTACAGGGTTCCAGTTTTGATCTGGAATCCTGTAATAGTCTCTAAAGGGTTTCAGATGCCTTCAATAAAGTTTAATTGGAGGTTTTACAGCCAGAATCAGCAGTAGGTGTTAGGGTAAGAGAGGTGTAATAAAGCAACCCCAAAGCATAAAAAAAAAAATAAATAAATAAATCTTGTGTCAGACAATGAGGGGCAACAGAAAACAACCAACCTTCTTACCTTCCTGGTGGGAGCAATGAATACACATGAGATGCTTGTGCATAAAGTTTTATTTTTGTTGAAAATAAGTGTTTCTGACATCAAACCACTAACATATCTGATGTGACCTAGACAGACGAGATACACGCCGACACTTCTGCTTCCCTTATACACGTATAATAACATCTGCATCATCCGTAGTGTGAAAAGACGAGTACCCGAACGTTTGGACGACACGTTTGACTGACTGATACTGCCTCTTTGGACGAGACTGATTGTACTCAGTGTCAGTGTGACAGCACAGCTTCATGCACACGTCATCCACAGTAGGTCAGCATTTAGGATCTTCTGCATGAGCCTCCCCGGAAGGTGCGGTTCTCTTTTTAAAAGACATTCTTGCATCTTTTCATTCATTCTTGGTTAGGTTAGGCGGGTCCTGCTGTGAAATGAACTCATCACAGTGGTGTTACTTATCTTTTAAAATTGGTGAAAGGTCTTGCACTGCCTAATATGTCCTGAAAGTGCAAAAAAGACAAACGCAAAAGGAGGAAGAGAGGTCAGTAGAAACTACTGTGCACACTGCCATAACTGCTTTAACCTATGGCTGCTTTCCCAAATAGCATTTAGCGCTACAATCCTCTTTGTTGATGGCTTTGGCACCGCGGCGCTTTAGGGAAACCCCAGAATTTCACTCCAAATGAATCAACCAGACGCTGATGGAGACGCTGGAAGTTGAGTGTTGCTTCGTTGTTCAAGTGAAAATCCAGTTTTCGTCTGAGAGGCAATGAATGCTTGAATCGAACTCACCCCAAAGTGCTTCAGAGAGCATCTTCCTACATTGTCCCACAATGCTTTTCAAGAGCGAAGGCTGAAAGTCGTAGAAATATCGAATATTTTCTCCAGCTCTCCATTTAAACCATCTAACATGAATACATTTGCACGCTAATGACTACTCTAGCCCTCCCCATCCATCAGGCTGCTACTGAATGCTACAGGCAGGGCAGCAGGTCTCCCTCCGGTCAGGCAGAGGGCAGAAGTCCATCTGCCTGACGATCTCGGCGAACAGCTCGTCCACCATCGTCTTGCTTTTGGCCGACGTCTCCATGAAGGGGCAGCCCCAGTCCTCAGCCAGAGCCTGGCCCTCGCTGGGCGACACTTCCCTCTCGTCCTCCAGGTCCACCTTGTTACCCACCAGCACCACTGGCACCTGCTGGTACCTGCAGAGGAGACAAAGGCGGCGACTCCTTTTACTGTGTGACACTTTATGAAGAAGAAGCTGGGATGAAGAGGCTTTACAAAGCTGTAGCAGAGTGTACTAAAATTGCAGAATTTTTCCATTTTTCTTCTACTTACATGTTTAAGTCGTGCAAAGAAATTTGAATCCAACAAAAGAGTTGGTAGCAGCATTCTGACAGACTGCTGTCTGACGCACTCTTCTTTGCAGAATCGTTTAAATTCAGCCTCGTTGGAGGATCTTCAACCCTGAATAAGAGTTTATCACAGCAGCACAGCAAGACTTAAGACTAGACTTCGACTAGGCCATTCCAAAACTTACTTTTTTGCAACACACAGAGGTGAATTTGTAACTTTTTTTCTGTTGTAGTCAAAAAGCTTTGATTATGCTTAAATATTTTCACTGATTAATAAATAAGTAATACCTTCAATCTCTTCAATTAACTAAATGCGTGATTAAATCCTTCCCAGAGCAGATAATTGGAATCGATTCATCCTCCAGTCTTAATGAGACAGATAATCTACATACATCAATATAGTTTAACATATCTGGAGTTTTGCTGGCCGACATGCTGCTTCTGCACGACGCTGAAACAACAAGCCTGTTGAATAATGAACAGCAGAACTGCAGGCAGCTTCAATCCCCCAGTCGGCTCCCCTGCCGTCTAATAACAGTGGGAGGCTGCAAATGAATATCTGTCAGGAAAAATAACAGCTGTTTAGGGTGAAAAACATTGCTGCTTTATTTAGTTCTGCACGTATTACACAGCGTCCGTCCACTTCCTGTTTAAAATGAAAGTAAAAACGACTCTCCAAACGGCACCGGGAAAGTTTCGGAGGATCAAAAAGCTTCGGCGGCTGACGATCTCTCTCAGATGTCAATACAAGCTGAACAGAGTAATGGAATAAGTTGCTGAATAATTGAATGAAGCTAATGTGCTGCTCTAAAATGGGGTGACATGAACATTAGCTTTCGAAGAAGCCATATGATATACATTAACAGTTCGTTTTACAAGAGGAAGGAGGAGAATATGAAGATCTAGTTCTGTGGTTTTGTTTGTCTCCAAACATTGTTGGACAGGGATTGAAGTCTGCTAAAAAAAATCTTTAAATCAAATCGGTTTTTGTCTTCTTTTTTTTTTTTCCTTTAATGTAAAGTTCGGAAGTTATCCAACCAACTTTGGTTTAACTAGCCCACATCATTACACCCCCGCCTCTGTGCTTTAGCATAAAGTCATCCAGCTGAAGGCATCGGCGTCATCACGACTTTATGTTGATGTTATGATGTTAGCAGCCTTAAGAATTTGACTTAAGCAGCAAAAACTGAAGCGGGAAGGAAGAAAAGAAATAAGGGCAAGAAAAGAAGGCGTGAAGGAGAGAAGGACACAAAGTCAGAAGAGAGGCAGGATAAACAGCAGGAAGAAGGAAAGGAGAGAAGGAAGGAATAAAATGATCTAAGGATGTAAGGATACAAGAAAGAGGCACAGGGAAGGAAGAAAAGGAGGAAACAAAAGAGAAAGTTTTGCAGGAAGGAAGAAAATAAGGATGGAAATAAAGAACTTCAAGCTCAATGCTAAAGTTGGATCTTCTAGCTCATTCATCCATCTTCATACATTCAGTTTAATTTCTTCAATAAATTCAACTAGTGTGTTCCAAAACTGAGGAGGCTCATGAATTATGTTTGAATTATGACTTGGATCAATTCTGGAGATTTTTACCTCTCAGACCCTTCATACTAATGTACTTGTTTAATACACTACAACAAATTCTATTCATAAAATGTAATTTCAAAGCCACCCGCTGCATGTTTCTCTTCTCAAATAACAGCAGAATTTCAATTACACTGGCTATATTTTCTCACAACAGGTAATGGCACACACCAGCTAATAGCTTCCACCATCAATCACGTCTAAGTGCTTTCAAGCCTGGCTTATTGATCCGCTGGCGCTATTGAGAAATTCGGCTCTTATCTACAAATTGGTGGCCTGTTGCCATGGCGCTCTGCTGGGAAAAGAGCTGAGGTGTGGAAAAGAGCTGGCAAACATCTCACTGGCCCAAACAGAGGCGGCGAGCCGGAGGAAATGAGTTTGTGGGACACACAAGACGCAAATGTTAAAGCTACAGGCGACGCCGAACGCTTTCCACGCAAAACACCAGAAACTGGCTGGAAAAAGTGCATCAGTCGAGGCTTGAACGCCAAAGACTTCCCTGGAGCGTGACATTTACCCCCGCTGTTCGACACGCGTTCACACACACATGCACTCACACACGCACGCACACACACGTAGGCAGCAGCTGACCTCAGCAGGCCAAGCATCTCGCGTCGGCCTGTTTGCTTGGAAAGCCCAAGTCTGGAGGGCGTGAGGTGTGAACATCGAGAGCAACGTTCAGACAAATGCAATCTGACAGGCTTGCAGGAGAAACTCTATATATAACTACAAAGACAAGGGAAAGCCGGTTTCTCCTGGCCCGGGCGGAGTGGGGGGCAAAGTAGGAGGGGTTTGCATTGGGGTTGTTTGTTGTAGCATCCCGGCTCCTGCTTCTTCCTCACCAGATGATGCGAAGCTGCCTAACGTGGCATGAAGAAGCATGTACCGCAGGGATCGGCGCTCTACTGCTCCGCGTCGTGTATTATTGAATAATACATCAGTCGGTTCTCGGGATTAAGCACCAAAGTCCATCACGGTTTCCAAAATTAACCTGGCCAATATGTCGATCCGGAGCACAGCTCAGCGCCAAGACGTGAATATCCGAAACAAAAACGGAAGAGGAGATTTGGAGAGCAGATGCTTATTTGGAATATGATGGCTTAAGTTTGGAGAAAATGACAAAAGGAACCAGATGAACTGTTCACAAAGACTAATTAACACAAGAGAGCTGAACTGAAAGTCAAAGAAGCTACAAATGCAGGAGAAAAGAGCAACACCGATCTAAGAAAACCAAGTCCATGTGCGCAAAGAATAAAACAACAATAACCCAAGAAGCAAACACAAAAGGAATTATAACCATTCTAATAATTAAGTCTCTTTACCTTTTGATAAACTCCATGTTTATGTTTGGAATGGTAGGACAGAAAAGATTTCTCTACAAGTGCAAACATATTTTTCTTAACATTTTCCTACTAAACAAATTAAGTCAAATAATGTTTTTTTAAAAAAAGTAAAAATGACACCACATGAAGCTTTAGTTAAAATTGCTTGCAAACAAAATTGAAGTTGACAGCGTCCAGTTTTTCACTGCCCTCAAGTGGCCAAAAACAGGCATTTAAATGTCAGGAGAGATGCAGCTCAATTGGAAACTCCTGGAGGTACGAATATGGGAGGGAGAGAAGATAACTAGATTAAAAAAAAAACAAACAGCAGGAGGTGAGCTACAGAGTGAGATTTCGTGATGAACCACTTTCAGAACAACACTAAATGTTTTCGTCCTCTGTAGCTCAGATTCAGAGCCGACTTTGGTTCAAGAAGCTGCAGCCTCACCATGCGCCAGGAATGTGAAACTTTAACAAGCTGCACGAAAACGACTTACTTCCATGTACTCTGCAGGGTGTTATTTCAGCTGCTAGATGGAAAAATACAAACATGCAATGCTCCAACACACACCAAATGCATCTTTATAACTAATTTAAAAAAAAATAATCGTGGCTCTAGTTTTTCCATTTATCCCCCTTGGCTGCATCACGTTTATTGGGCTGCCTGCTGTGCTAAATATCTGCAGTGACTTCACCATCTCATTTCCACAAGCCCCCACAGAAAGGGGGGCGAAAACACAAACGGCAAATAAACATCTTCGACGCGAGGCCCCGCAGCCATCTCCGTTCTCTCCCGCATCTGTTCTTAATCCATTGTCGGCAGAGTTGTGGTGTGCAACAACGCCGCCTTGTATCTGAACAATCGCAGCCTCTGTAGCGCCAACTCTGCGTCAACTCCCAACGGGTGTTACTGCCGGAGAACAAAAGCTTCTGTGGCACCCATGCTGCAGCGCGCGAGAGGCATGAAGGAGAAATCGGGGAGGATAAATAACAGGCTGTGAATCCTCCTGCAACAAACCAGGAAAACTCACTTTGAAGCATTTCGACTCACAAGTTCATCCAGGTCATCTGTACATTAGCAGCAGACACTAAACATTGCACTGGAGTTCACACACAGAAGCTTAGAAGGTTAGTTTGGGTTTTATGCATTAGGTTGCATTGCCAACTCCCCAATTGTTTGAGTCACTCAGAATACTCTTAGGCCAAGATGGTTTTCAAATTCATCATACTGACTGAAACAAAACGACTAAATTTAAGTTTCATCCTCTGAATCCAGATAAAATCGAAACATTTCTTTAAAATGTAAATCTGTCATCACCCAGAGAATGTCTCCGTTCTCTCACCCTAACCAAAGTCAAATGATTTTCTTGGAACTTTATAACATTGCGAGAATGAAAATGCAACTTGAATGGGTAAACATTGGATCTACCTCAACTGTACCCCATTTTCTCCAACCAGGAAGTCCCAGGCGCTATGGATGTTCACCGTTTCCACTCATCTGGCATCTGGGAGTAGTCTCTGTTTTCAGCTCCCTAGTGGCGACTAGTGGTGATAGTCTTCTAAATGCAGGAAATTGGAGATAGACATCAAAGCATGTTTGTAGCCCTCAGGGGCTACAAGATAAGTTGAAGAGGTTGTAATATAATTAACAAGGAGGGGGCTTTGTTTTTGTTATTTAGTCACGAGCGTTAGACCGCCAAAGGCACTTTGGGTCCTTATTTCTTTCCATCCCGATTTAGAACAACACAAAGACTACCTTCAGCTTCCAAAGATGTGTGAAATGACGAGCTGGGTGAAAAGACTTCAGCAAACATGCTGCAGTAAATACATAAAGTCCAATGAGTGCTAAGAGACGGCTGCTTAAACAACTCTCCCTGCCCTGATTGCAAACACTAAAAGCCTCTGGTCAAGAAAATGGCTTCGTACCTACACCAAAGTGCCCTCCGGGACCACAGTTTTAGCCTCTCCACCCTATTCCCACTCAGCATAGCGTGACGCTCACCTCCTGCTATTAGACACAGCATCGGTGCAGCGTGAAAACGCGGCTCTAGTGCTTTGAACACGCTCTCTCCTGGTGGGGCGAGGGACAGTAAAACCTCAACATGCCAAGGAGGCGCTTGGCTTGCTGGGAAGGCCACACCCGGTTGTTGTTTTCACACAAAACGTCCTCCATAAAGTCTTCAGATCCGATGCTGTGCTTGTGCACCGCAGGAGTCTGCAGGATCCTACCTTGTCTTGCCCATGTTTGCCTCTCCATAGGCTTTCTCGTTCATCTGGCTCCCTAATGGAGGCCTGATGTCTTCTTGGCTTTCACTCAACACAATCCCATTAAGTTCTAGTGAGTGGGCACGCATCTCTGTGTGGTGTTTGTTGTTACTGCTGCTGGCTCAGCAACAAGTTTGGAGGGAGGGCAGATAGCTAATGGAGACCAGGAGCTAACATTGTTGTGTGAACATAGCTGTGCATGTGGTGATCATAAAACACAGATGAGACATTGTACCCTAAATCGCTATGAACACAAAAATAACTGTCTTTACTCTGAATAATTGTGAAGTTTCTACCAATAAAATCCCAAAAGTCAGACCTGGATTTAAATACATATTAGGGCTGCAGCTAAAATTTTTTCTAATCGACTGTTCTATCAAGATTAATCGTATTAATCGGATAAAAAAAAAGATTTTTCATTTAACCACTTAAGCTTACTCTTTGCAATATCAGAAATAAACTAACGTGTGCAAATAAACAAATATTTCCGCACCTTTTCTAAACGAGAACATAAACATTCAGACAATTTAGTGTTCTTCTAGTGAACGCCTGATCATTTGTAGCAAAGGATGCATCTGCAGCTAAAAAAAACAACAAGAAAAGCATTTCTAACATCAACTTGTGCAAAACTCAGGCATTTCTGCTTGATCTAACATCAACGACAGCGTGGAATTAATCTGTTGACAATCTATTTGTATGAACAGATTAATTGATGCTTAATTAAAGGTTTCTTTTTATTTTACAGAATTTGAACCTAAAATCTCCATCTGTCATCAAATGGCCTTTTTTGAGTCAATATGATTAATCTATTACTAAATCCGTTGACACTTTCACTGTGTTTACATGTGAAAGTGGGATATTAGTCGTTTTCCCGAGTCTAATTACGCCTTTTCCTTATCCCAGGTTCTGCAGAGCAGAGTGAAACACAGGTAGAAACCTGGTGGCAGCTGACTGGAGGCTGCTGTGCTCCGTCGTTATATTATTCATGTCTGTGGAGTTCCCTCACGCGCTCGCCTCCGCTCTGCGTCGTCATCCTGCTTCCACTCAGGTCATCCGGTTCACTCCAGGAGCCGAGCTGAACCTCTGGAAACGGGAACGTTACGCCGCAACATTTTTAGTCAAATTCCAACGGCGCTGGGTCTTGACGTCAAACCAGACCCCGTACAAACGAAATCATCTGTTCAACACATTTTGAGAGAGGAGCCATAAATTAAAAGAGGCTGGGGGTCAAGAATTTACAACTAGATCACTGATGAAAAAAAGGAAATGGATTGCGGATTTTTTTGTATGTTTTTCTCAGAAATGACCTCAGTGGACAGACTGAGTCATTGTCCGAGCCAATCAAAGCTGTTCGGAGTTAAAGCGAGTGTGCAAGGCGCAGGAGAAAAATCTGGGACACTTCAGATGGGTGTTGTGAGACAGGTGAGCTGCAGTTGGGCTTCTTTAGGGGAAACCAGTTGAAGTTTTTCCACAGACGACTCGGGGGAAGAAGAGAGGGAAGATGGAAGGATGAGTCTCGGTTTTATCTGGGAGCAAAAGGGTTTTAAGTATTTTCTGACTGGATTTTTCTTAGCTGGTGCATTTAAAGCACATAAAATCAATTGTAATAATCCCCCTACACACATCAGTGGTAGAAATAAACTGATCTCACATTGATTGACTCAAACAGAACATTTTCACATGTCTCACTTTAAAAGGGTGCTGAGAAAGATGCTGCCTTTTTTGTTTTCCAGAATACAAACGTTATAAATCCATCACTGGATTATTTCATTTACAAACAATCCAGTTGACATCTGACTATAGTCGTAAATATCAAAAATTTTTAACAGCTCAAAACAAAACTATATCATATCGCGTTAAAGGTGCAACTGATCATATTTCATTTCATAAAATATAGAAATAAATGAATTGAATTTTTACCCCAAGCTCCTTGCGGCGTCCCCAAGGCCATGCCGCCCTGGGCAGTCAGCCATTTCGCCTCCATCCATTATCAAGTGCATATTTTATACCAACTGTACGGAATGCATGATGAAGCTGGACAGGGTCTCACCTCTTGACCCTGATGATCTGGTCCCTCATGGGCTTGATGTCCTGAAAACTTTGCTGGTTCACCAGGCTGTAGACCAGGATGAAGCCCTGGCCGTTCCTGATGTAAAGGTCCCGCATGGAGGCGAACTGCTCGGTCCCCGCCGTGTCCAGGATCTCCAGCACCGACGGAGACGAGTCCACCTCAATCTCCTTCCTGTAGAAGTCCTCGATGGTCGGGTCGTACTTCTCGATGAACGTCCCGGTGACGAACTGGACCGTCAGCGCGGACTTGCCCACCCCGCCGCTGCCCAGCACCACCACCTTGTACTCCCGCATCGCCTACCGCTCCTCTGGAGTCAAACCCGGCGCGCAGAGGAGGAAGAAGAAGCGCATCCCCCTCGCAGCCAGCCTCCGGAAGACGAGACGCTCCCAGGAATGGATGCAGGAAAAGGAGCAGGAATGGATGCAGGAGCAGGAGCAGCCGGTCTACTGAGATGATCCCACGCTACCTCGAAGGGACCCCGCTCCACAGGCATCCATAATGCAATGAGGCGGCGGTGGGGTGAAAATAAGAGCGGCTATTATTAGAAACATCCAGACGGCTCATTTTTTTTCAATCCGCCGACAAAAACAGTCAGTCTTACATTTCCACCCCCCGCAGCTCCGGGGTTGCGGCGGAGTTAAAGGCGACGAGCAGCTGGAGCCTTAAGACGCTGGAGCTGGGAATCCACGCCTCTGGAGTCGGCGCATCCTCTGGATGCGACCATTTCCTGGAAGATATGGAGGGCGATCAGTGCCACTGCTGAACAGGGAGGGAGGAGGGGCAACTCTGAAATAAAGCCACGCATTTGACCTATGCCATAATTAACAACAGAAATCTTTTTAATTCAATTACAGAGCATATATTTTTATTATACTGATTGTTTTTGAAACTGTTGCTATGTGGTGACGGTACGGTATGAGACAAAGAATCTTCTTCCAATGCCAACTAGAAGCAAACAATTACTGCTGTCAGTCAATCTCTTGCAGCGCTGCTCACCCCCTCCAGATTGTGTTGTGAATGCCCAGTCTAGTTAGCATACCCACCTATGAACGGTTTCCCAGTAACAGCAAGTTGTTTCTCCACCATTTTGCAGATACACGAGGTTTATTGACAGCGCTAAGACCCGCCTCCTGGCTCTGATTGATAGTTTTTGGTCAGATTTGATCAAATAGCAATAGCAGCTCAGTCAGTAGATGAAGGACATGGATTTTTCCACCGATCATGTCTCCTAAAATATCAATATACGGTACCGGTTTCAGACTTCATTACCTCAACCACGTCTCTGAGCGCCGAACGCCTTGTACTTCTCGCTGCTCCAGGCAGGTTGCAGCATTAGAGGAGGACAAGTTGCTGGTGTCTTCACTTTCGATTTCTCTCAAGTCCTCCACACATTTCTTGGATCCCTGTTGAGTCTTTGCGACAGAACATTAGAAACAGAAAACATAAGAGGAAATCTTTGGCTTCTTCGTGTTTTAAAATGCATCATAAAAACATAACTGACTAACTCAGCTGTTCCCAAATCAGTGCAGTTCTGAATCCACTCCATGCCCCAAGTTTATTTTTGTGTGGCGGTGGGAGTTTGGGTCCAACTGCAGCGCTTCAGGGAGAAAGGCAGAACAAATAAATTCCAGAGAAAAGATGGCTGAACCCTGCTGGTTTCACATGTTTCTAGTTTTCTTTAAAAAACATATTTTTATTAAATGTACAAAAACACACACACAGCCCCAAAACAAATCTAATTTCATTTTCTTTATTTCTTTCTCTCAATAGATTTTACACTATCTCGCTGGAACCAAAGAAACAACTGACTATATAAACATAAAATAGCACAAAATATATGCAAAAGAATACATTTAAAAGGATTACATTAAAACTATGAATCCAATGAGGGTCTTATTGTCAGTTTAACTTTGTGAAGGAGACTTCAACCCTGCGGTCTCCACTGTAGTGCCCTCTGCTGTCATAAGCTGTTCCATTGTAAGGCAGTGGGACCCAACATGGCTACGACGTACTCCAGTTCGGTTGCAGTGCCTCCCAGTTGGCTTCATGACGCACACATTAAAACCTTGAAGGAAAAATAAAACTACCTCGGAATATAAAGAGTCACAATTGAAATGAAACTCCAAAGGGGTTTGAGAAGTGAGACCGTTCAAGTCATTTTTTTTAAAAAGAAATTTCAGAAGAGCTCTTAAAAACATAAAACCTCAAGCACGATGGACTCAAGATAAGGCAAAGTGTTTGGATAAGCTGAGTCTGCTCAGTTGACCAACTGCTCAGAAAGTGCTTACATTTCTCTGATTTTTTTTTTTTTTTTTGTTCTTTTCCCATTCTCTCTTTTTTAAAACCATCTCATCAACAGCAGCAAACGCATAGAGAAACTTTACGCCTCAAAGGCAAAGGGATCCCGTACACAAGGTTGCTGCTGCAGGCCGTACAGACATATATATATAGATATATATATTTACATATACATCTATATATATATATGTATTTTTTCGTTTCTCTTTAAAAAAAAAACAAAAAAACATTCAGTATGTTATCATTTAGTAAGTAAAGAAAAATATTTTCCCATGCAACAATATGTTGAATTAATTACTGATGCCTTTTGAAGTGTAAAGGAAGTGAAAAACAAAACAAAAAAGAAAGTGCAATCCTAAAATCTATGGATAAATACGCTTCAAATAAAACGTCTCAGTGTGGAACTTAAAGGTCCTTTGTCAGGGGAGGAGTTTTACATCTGAACCTAATTTATAGAATATTTAGTTCTTACATATATATATATATATTCATATTTATATGTAATCTATATGACATTGATGATTTTAAATCTAGAAGTGTTACAGTCAGTATAGAGGCTGTTATTTGCTAGTTAAAATATCAGGTCACCGTCATATTCTCGTTGAATAAGAAATGTTCATATCTTCTTTACAATCTACCTTGTGTACAGTGTTCTAGCAAAAAAAACAACAAAAAAAAAGAAACAAAAAAATCAACTTAATGTCATTTACAAAAATACCAAACTTTAGTAACTGCAACATTTGGTTGCCACCGCAACAACTTAATATTGTTATGAAATACTATCATACTAGAGTGAAAAGTACATCTTTTTCAAAATTTTCTTTGCATTTTTTTTTTCACTTTTTTTGTTGGTAAAATGTCATCTATACAATAAACTTTCCCCCCCCCTCCCTCAGTAACAGGAGCAACTCTAGTACTACGCTGTGATCTTTTTCCAAATGTTTTTCTTGTTTTTCTTTTTAACCTCGATGAGAGGGCGAGAAAGATCCAGAAATGTGTCCAGCTCCATCGCCGGGGAGAGCTTTTCAAGCCTCCCTCGCCGCCTTGTGACGCCTCATCTGCCGACTCGACGGAGGGCTTGGCCTTTAAAAAAAAAAAGACAACCGACCCGTGCAAAAACGCTGCACAGCTCAATAAATTACATTCATCTCAAAACAGGATAGTTTACAACATCATTTATGAGTAAAACCTCACCTAGAGTGACGCGAGATAAATTACAATAAAATAGGACAATTTACCGCCTTTCACAAAAGGGTGTGTAGCAACCGATAAGGTAATAATGACCAGCAGCTCAATATTAAATGTTATGAAAGAGAAATGGAACCAATAATATTAAGTTTGTGGGCCCTTAATATGACATTTTGCTAATAGCATAATTAGTTCTCACGATATTAGCATAGCATTAACTTCTGTAGACCCAATTGTTCCCTTTTAGCCATTTTTCATTTTTTAATTGCTGATATTTTTGTCAATGTGACATGAAATTTTAAAATTAAACAGTCTGAATGAATGTTAAAAATCTCCTCCCAAATTGGTTGCCATGGTTGGCCATCACATAAATATACCTTATTTCATCTTATGTCAACTGTATAGAATTATTTGACAAAAAAAAAAAACACAAAACAAATTACTTATACACATTTTAAAAAATTAAGGGGTTATTTTTATATTTTTTTGTGGAATTACATATTCAACCACTAGTTGGCAGCACAGCAAATAGAGGGGTCTAATTTGAAACCCTTTGTTGTGCTATTGCATAGAAATAAATTATTGCAACACAAAATAGTCTAGTTAAAACCTTCACATCACCCAAATCATTCCACTCTGCACAACACAATTTATATTTATACAATTTGAAATGTTCAAATTTAATGAGAGAAATGTAAGCAATCATTGAAGGTCTGATTAGAGTCAAACGTAACACTGATATGATTTTTATCGTGTTTTATTTATTCTTTTTTCTGCAGGGAACCTTGTAAGTGTCAAGAATCCCACGCTGGGAGGTTTTTTGGGGCGGCAATACCTGCATCAACAGGACTGAAGTAATGTAAATAAAACCAAGTTGCTTTAAAAGCTGCTTATAAAGATTTTTGCTGGATGACATAAAGTGTCAAAAGCTTCACAATAATATTATATTTAAAATGACCTAAATTCGGTTATTAGCCATTATTACATCATTGTTGCTACGGTGAACATACAGGTCACAATGTGCATGAAAACAAACCGTTTCGATTGTGGATTGTCAGTGTTGATCAAGCACCATGAGATCACATCAGAATTTTTGATCAAACGGAGAAAAACCTCCAAGAAAAAAAACAAAAAGCTAATGTGATTTTTCTTGTCTTGGCCTTGAAAAACTAACACTTGTTACGGGAGGCGGAGGGTCAAACACACCTTGATAGTAACACAACACAACTTTTTTAAATAAGTCTGAATACATTTTCTATAACCGTGAATAGAAACTGTCAAAATAACAGACACTTTACATACATTACACAGTTTACAATACGGTGTTTTCTCTCTCTTTCCCCATGTAAACTACTGAAATTGATGTAAGAAACGACGGATACACCGTGAAACGTCACCAAACATTCTACAAAGCTAGTTTTGATTTGTCGATCCTTTAAATTCTCTCCTTGCAGTAAAGTCACTTGTGATGTAAGATGAGCCGTTGCCAGGGAAGTTGTCCCCACCCCGTCCCGGCCGGCAACGCGAAGTGTAATGTCTTTCCCCGAAAAGAGTCTATATGGATTTAACAGCCGGTGGGGTTTTTTTGTGACTCTTAGTGATCCACACCCTGGATGCTTTATGTGTCGTCGATGAGCTTCTCTTAAATTTTTTTTTTTTGAGGCACTTCTACAGTTTTCTAAAATGGAAACAGGATTATCGGTGATAGTAGGGTTGGACAGGACAACAGATGGTCACAGATAGCCCTCCAGTTCAAAGTTCAAGTCATCTTTTTGCTTGACGAGTGTCGTCAAATGCATTGTTTTCTTTTTTTTTTTTTGTTTGTTTTTTTTTTCAAACATTTTTTTTCTGTTGTTGTTTTTATATTTAGATTTAGCACTTAAGTCCCTCACATGTCCCCCGGTTCTAAAAAATAAACAAATAGAAAAAAGAAAAAAAACTAATTTTCCAGGCCTGGAGTTGCTAGTCCTCGCTTAAAGTCGCAGTCTGCCGGCAGACCATCAGTTTCCTGACGACGACACACACAACGCACACAGTCGCACGTACACACACAAAAGGCTTGGTATGACTGAAGCTAACCTCTCCAGCTTCTGTCGAGCCCTTGGCGCAGGCCCGAGCCTCGTCAAGCTTCTCCAGTCCGGACTGCATGCGAACAAGCTGAACTCACGGCAAATAAAGGGCGAGCGGGTCGACTCTGCAGCAACGGGGCAATGGCAAAAATAACAAATGGAAAGGGCGCGTATCGCTCTCGTGGCGAGATGTTTCCGGGAAGAAGACGTCGGCGTCTGGGGCTGGCTATCGTTTGAAACAGCGAAGGGAAGCGAAGGTGTGGCTGTCAGGGTGAACGCTGCTCTGAAATTCTAAAATAAATATCCAAGAGTTGATATTCCACTGTGTCCACAGTGTGTCTGCACTATACATAAGAATATTTGTGACTTTTTCATGTTCATATTCTGTTTTCTATTTTATATATATATGTGTAGATATATATATATATATAATATATATGTGTGTATATCGTTTGTTTTCTATGTGAATGTGTGTGTCTTACAGCGGCTCTGCAGTCGGTTAAATTGAAGTGTTACACTCTTAGCATGCAGGTTGCTGGACCTCTATGGGAGAGGCAAGGTAGTATTTACAGAGGGGCTGTTTTGGGCTTCCTAGTGCAGCTTCGTGACACTCCGTTTCCCTGGCGATGCTCACTTCAGGATGATCTGCAACCCAGAGACACAGAGAGAAAGGAAGAGACTGTTTTAGTTTACATCGAAAAGTTCACGAGCTACAAAAAAAAATAAAAAAAATCACATTTGGACAAATATAATGTCATCTTAAGCTACCTGAAACTGTTCTTCTCTTTTGTTTTAACTGCTACTGCAGATGTAGTAAGTTTTGACACACTTATACCTCAACATAAGAGTAGCTGAGCTATTGTCAATTTCAACTTCATTAGCTGGAGCAAACTGTACATTCGAATAAAATTCTAATAAAATACATTGAAGTTAGTGCAAAATGGGGTGCGGATACATTTTGAAAGGCTAAAATAACCGACAAAACAGGGGAAGACAGACAAAGATGAGAGAATCTTTGAAGGGGGTAAAGGTAGAGGAGCTGCAGGCTGCAGTCGTGTTGGTGTCCCAGGCAGAAAGCCAGTGCAGAACAAAGCCCTGCATGGTTCCTGTTAGTAGACAGCATTCAGCAAGTAAGATGGAAGCCACTGATCCCATCACACGCAACATACGGACGGCACAGTGTGTGACCTGAGCACTCCACAGCGCAGAAAGAAGCCGTAAAAAAAAAAAATATATAAAGTAGAAGCAGCATCAAAGTGGTTCAAGACATTAGATGGTTTAGTTAATCGTTAAACGATCCCTATATGTAGTAAAAATAGTCCACCACTAGAAGGTGCTGCACCTCCAGAAAGCCCCTGCAGCAGCAGTGATGTTACCAGGGACACAGCAGTGATCGCACATGGTTAATATTATGCTCAGACATGGAGGGACGTGATTGGCTCCTTCACATCGTGTCACATTAACGGTTTGCCGGTCGTGAGTTGACCAGACTCTGAACCTGTCGCGCTGTCTGCAACTATTTGACGTGCTTGCAGTAGTTATGTTCAGCCTCAAATGTTCATTTTTCACAGCATTTAAATATTCTTTTTCCCACTGGCCTGAATGAGAAAAGGAAGAAACTACCCAGATATTAAAAGGAGATTCAATCCAGCTGCGTTAGGGCTGTCAGGGGGTGAAAACAAATAAAAACCAGTCCGGTTCCGGATTTGATAAAACCACATGACTGGGAGCGGAGTAAACAAGGTGAGGACTGTATGCAGTGCAGCTGATGATGAGGAAGATGATGGTGTGTGCCCTAACTGCTGGGTGGGAGGCAAACGGAGGCAGACAGCGAATGGCTGACGTCACCCTTTTCTCCAGCTCCTTGTCCCACATGCATCTTTAAAGAGTGGCTCTGCTTCCTGCTGCTACTGCTGCTGCATGCCAATTACAGGAAGAGACAGTGACTCACAGGAAGTGCGCGCGCGGCCGGCCTATGAGGAGCAATACGATGCTGGGTAATGGGTCTGTGATTAATGATGATGGAGAAATGGACAACACACATCTGTTTATGTTTTGGAAAGCAAAATGTTGGTCCGCTCTCATCAGATGGGGTGAAGGCACTGCTGTTAATTATCTGATTGTCAAAGATGGTTTTCTGAAACTTGGGGGTAGGGCGCTATTAAAAAAAAGCACCTGGCTGTTGCTGTTTAACATGTGGAACACGTTGCTGCGTGTCCTCAAAGCACCTCTGATCGGATCCAGCAGTAAATGACTGCCAGCTGTGTGAGTGAGGCCGGGGCGCTGCCACCTTCTCTGAAATTTCCAGGTTTAGAAATGGGGCTGCACGTGCTTCACCCCGGCGGTCGGAGCTGTTCGTCTTTCAGGAGAGCCGACTTTTGATCAGAGGCCATCGTTTAGATTCTCTGGTTCTTTTTTCCCTGGAACAGTTTTCCCAAGATTCATCTCTCGCTTTAACCTTACATTCAGGAAAGAAGCGTAATGAGTGAATCTAAAATCGATTGAGCTTATCTATCGACTGACAACTAATTGAGAAGCTCCCATTAAAAAAGAGAAAACTGGAACCTTTGAAGTTACTGAATATTACATTAAAACTTACTATTGTGAGTGTAATAACTCACAATAGCCCTCAAAAATCAACCTTATTTATTAGCGTAATATTTCTTTCCACCATGTTAGAACTTTTCTGTTTTGTCTGCCGCTTTTCTATCAGTTCGTCCTCATTTGTAGCACACAAGTAAGCTCTATTAAGGTGAAAGAGTGTGTGGAGTGCTTAAATTTAAAAACAGAACCGCATAATGTGCAGTTTGCATTTCTCATCCCCATTCTCATATCTCCCCGCCATCTTTGTTTCTGTTTCAACTGCCTCTGCTTAAAGATGATCAGTGGAAGAAGGTGGAAGCGGACATGATTAGTCAATCGATTGGAACAAATTTTAATCTAATAATTCTATTTTATCATAAGTGGAACCAGATATTTAGATACGATGTATAGAAATATCTTGTTTCAACTATGACTACTACTAAAAGCGAGCCGCAGGAATGTTTCCGTGCGTGTTCGCTTGAATGTCTGCGTTTGCGTCACACACAAGCGGTACAGATGATGTCCCAGCTGCGGATGGAGAGGCCTTACCGTTTCAGACAACAAGAAAACTAGAAAATAAAACATGCAAAACAAAACCAGGAAGTGGTGCAACATAACACAAGTACTACTTGCAAATGTGGGAGCTCTGAAGAAGTGCTTTTTATTAGGATCGTGCCATGGACTTTAAAAGAAATGCTACTCAGGTAGCGTCCCTCTGCTTTACACTGTGTGGAAAACACCCACTCACCAGCTTTCACCCTGTGCAGCCACATGGATGACTGGAGGATGGCTAAAGCTGCAGGTTTTGTTGCAGCTCACTATCAGGAGGCAGTACTTATTCAGAGCTCCGGGGACTGATGAAAGAAAGCTTTAAAAGGAGCAAACCTGATTGGCTGGTGCTGTTGCTGCGTAGGGGACACTTGTGGCAGGAGTTGTTGCTGCAGAGACAGTAGCAGGCGTAGCACTGTACATCATTGGGACTTTGTTTTTGAGGAGGAAGGGAGAGGAAGGAGGGGAGGGTGTGGAAGGAAGGGGTAGCAATGAACAGGTAGGTGGAGCATTATGGCAACCATGGGAACAGTCGTGGCGTGTGTCGACGGCAGCGTTTTGTCGGTGGCGGATGTGGTGAGAGAGAGAGAAAGAGCCAGCGAGCCATCGTTAGGGTTACACCAGCAGATGGCATGCAACCAATGCAAAGCCAGGAGGACAGAAAGAAAGAGAGGAAGAAAATGACAGCAAGGGAGGATAAAAAAAACGAACAAAAACAAAAAAGAAAACAAGAGGAGAGAAGCTGATTACAATCACAAGTAAGGAAATTTATATGGAAAAATCAGCTTTATGTCTTTCCCAGAGAAGTCAACAACAAGACACATATTTTGATCCAAATTTAAACCATTTGGCCTGACTAAGTGAACAGCAGGGAGACGCCACACGGCTGCTGCCAAGAATATGCAATTCTGTCAAAACATGGTAAAACTTTTTATTTACAGTCAGCACCTTGCAATTAATATTCACGCCCCTTCAACTTTTTCACATTTTATCACATTCCAACAACAAATTGGGATCTAATGCTAGACCAGCCCACAGCAGGGCTTTACTGCGATACTGGATACTTTTGCAAGGTGCTGTAACTCCACTTTGATGGCTGTGTTTCCAGTTCTGTGGAATTTCTCTGGGAAACTGATTTCAATTTCCTGGTTAACACGGCACGGCCAAACGGAAGCCATATTAGAGCTCAGGAGTCAGCACTTTAATCATGAACAAAAACAGTCAAAAATAACAAGTCAGTCTGGAGCAAAGAGCTTGGAGCTGCAGCTCCTTCAGGTGATGTAAACTTAGCTTCAATAAATATCCATAAATGTTCCAGAAAATATCTTGAGGAACTTTTTTGCCTCACCTGTAAGGGCTGCAGACATCCCCCCTTAGATCAGCCTAAATGCATATGTGTGTGTGTGTGTGTGTATGTGTGTGTGTGAGAGAGAGAGAGAAAGAGAGCAGCGTCAGGACCTACCAAGACTGCTAGCAGGGGTCATGCACAACACTGACCCTGTTGTGTTTATGCAAAGAAAGACAGAGAGAGAAGGGAAGAAATGGGTTAATTGAGGAGGAGGAGGAGAACAACAGTTAGACAAGACAAAAACAAAAAGCATCAGTCAGCTCAGATGGTACCGTAACAGCCGTGATGCCAGCTAATAATGGAAGCAGTCAACAAAAGCAAGCGGTGGCATTCTTTGCACGGAGCTCTGCATTAGTGGGCGGAACTGCAGCTAAACCCGGGCTGGAGGACACAGGAGCGGCATGGAGTTTAACATCTGGCAAGGCGCTATGAACGTGTGCAAAGTTCACTTAGGTTCAGCTTGTTCTGCTTTCCTGTTTCTGCAGTAATTAACAGTAAAGTTTGCAGGACCCCCTTGGCAACTGAACACTGCGACTGAGTCGGCTTGCTTAACCGAGGGGCGTGTTGTCTAAATGCAATGCGGAGATGGAAACTTCAGGTCAACCGAGAGGAAGGAAAAGTAAAACTAAATGAGTGAACAAACGGCAGCATCATGCAGAGTAAAAAGAGCAGCTTTCCGTCCAGTTCCAGATTAAACTGAGATAGTTTTCACCAGAACTTTTCACACCTTTTCAGATTTTCTGAGTTTTTTTTTTTGTAGATTTTGGACAAACCCAACCTATATGAAAGCTTTGAGATTTATAGTTGCAATGAATTAAGAACCCCTAAGGATCTTAAAATTATAAGATCCCTCGAGATTAAATTATGTATACTGCTTTGCAAAAAACATTTTTTTTTACATTCTGTGGTGTTACAGCTCCATACTTCAACATGTCGTAATGGAGAGTTAATGTAATAGACCAACACATTGTGGAAAACCTCAACTAATTGAAAAAAAATTACAACAAAATGGAGCCTAAAACATGGCACTTATCCTGTTTTATAGACAGGAAGTGGATCGGAGCTGCTGTAAACGACAACAGACTTCCTTTGCAGCTGTAAAGCCACAAAGGATTAATATGATCGCTAAGACCCGTCTGCAGCTGTATGCCACGTGCGTGAAGTGGACGATCTTACCTGTGGGAAAGAAAGCAGGCTGCTGGAGCTGTGCGTTGGCCAGCGCCTGGTGGTAGTGCAAAACACTGGGGTTGAACAGAGAGCTGGCTCCGTTGCTCTTCTCAAGCGCTGGTCTCTTTGGTAGCGGCTGGAGGACGCCGTGGGGGAACGCCTTGACACACACGCAAACAGAAGCACAGATTTGAGCTTCACACTCACTCACATCGACACTAGAATTATTGCAAAGTGTTATTTTCTCTATGCACGGCACAAAAAAAAACAGAAAAGTACGGCAAGAAATGGAAACACAAAATAGAAAGCTGGAATTATTTTAGCTTTACGTTCATTACTACAAAACCACAATCTAGAAATACCACAGGTAAGGTCTACACATTAAAAAAGTGTCTTACTGGGTTTCACAACAACAAAAGAGCCAAATTAAATTCTGTGAGTGGCTACAAGTACAATTAAAGAAGCTACATGCAAAGCAAAAGGTGAAAGGTCCAAGTACCAGGTCTACAGTTGCCTCGAGGGGTCGCTTCATTGCTTTGGCAGTCGACTGAGTCTTTAATTAGCAGGCAGCGAGCACATGATGGCAGTGGGCCAATGGGATTCAAGCGTATTAACATACAGGTAACAGCAAGCAGAGGTGCATCATGGGGGACAGCATTGCATTGTGGATAGGTGAGAAGGAAAAAAAACAAAAACAAAAATAATCTGAATGCCAGTATACCACATACAAAACAATAGGCATGCACATAAACAAAAAAATTGCTTTCATTTAACTGTAAAGAAACATAGCTACTATATTAATTAGTACAAAAGCAAAAATAAGAAAAAAAAGCAAAAAAAGGCAGCTATAATATTAGATCCTAAGATGTACTCCAACGACTAACACAGCTGTTTATCTATTTGATGTCGACGCATGGGCAAATTTTAGATAAGAGATTAGCACAATTGTAGCAGTTCTGACCAAAACGGGGGAAAGAAAAAAAAAAAACAGCTTAACGTTTGGAAAAAAGTGACACAAGTTGGAGTTTAGTAACAGAATGTGGAGCTCTGTTTATTCCAAATGCTTAAGTGCGGTAAAAATTTAGACATTAATATGAATAAATGCTAAATTACCTGAGTGCTGCGCAACCCCTCCTCCCCCCCAAAAAAACAAAAAACACATGAATATGACTGTCCATGCACAAGCCTCTTGCTTGATGTATGTGGATTTTTTTTTTCCTCACTTGTGCAAATGTTTCGTTTCTTGTCGTTAACAAACAATGCATTGCTGATGCGCTGCGGTGTTAACAGACTTAAAAACACTGGTTAGTTCAAATGAAAGATGGTATATCAATTAAAAAGTGACATGAAAAGCAAAGATGGCTGCGCTTGACTTGCAATGAGGAAGGAGATCACAGCATGGCAAACAACACAACGTGGCACAGCAAAAAAACAAAACAAAACAAAAAAAAAAAAACGACTCACTGCAACTGCATTGGCCAAAGCGCAATATTGTCTACTGGACACGTTTGGGAGTTAGAGGTACTGATCATTCCCTATTTTTAGTGGCGCATCTGCGCAGGTTTAATGGATCTGCTGCGATAAAAGTGCCGCAGCTCAGGTGGAGGAGGGCTCAAAGACAATTGGATTAAAGATGCTGACTCGACAACTTGTCCTGAGGTTAACCCTCTTCACCTCTAGCGCAGATCGGAACAGCTGAAGGTAGTTTGGGAATTGGGTCATAAAGATGATAAAGTGAAGGACTGTATACTGTAAATGCAAAGAAGGGAGAACAGAAACACTTTTTTTTTGAACTTCAGCATGTTTTATGTGATCAAAGTGGAAGAAAAGCGACAATTTCCATGGTTTCTTTAGAATTAAAAAAAAATAATAAAAAAACGGAGGATTTCAATTATATTCTGCCTTTCAGAGTCAATACTTTATGGAGCCTCCATCAATCAAGCACATCTAGAGACTGAAATAATTCCAGATTTTAATTTGCATTGAAAAAAAATGTACTGATGATCTGATGTTCTTCCGCCGAGAAGTCGAACCTCCAGTCTCGTCACAAACAACCTCCACAGCACGATGCTGCCACTAACGTTTTTTTCTAGTCACACTATGGCGCCATGCAAGGGTCATTGTAGGTAGAAAAAAAGGAGGTGTAAATTTCTGACAAAAACCTAAAAACTTAAACCTAAAAAAGCTTCAAAAGTCAAAAATGTGCCTGGAAAAAAGACACAAATTTTGGGATTTTTATCAAAATTATTCCAGAAAACAACTAGAAATTTCAGAATTTGAAAGTGAAAAATGTTTACATTCTGAAAATTTCTAAACGTTGAACATGTTCAAGCCTTTTTTTTCTACATAATTTCTGAGATTAATGTCAAAATTTCAGAAATCTAATGCTTTTTCCACCTACTATGGCCCTAATTCGGTAATAGTACACACCATGTATCACTTTTCTTCTACTGTAAAATGAGCGAGTTAATGTAAAGGGTTTACAGAAGTGTTTAAATACGGTTTTCTGTCTTCTACCAGCTTGTAAAGGAAAGAGAAGGACAGCAAGCAGAGATGGAGTCAGCCAATGAGAGCTGAAGTGTGCGCAAGGCTTTATAAAGCATGCCCATGCCACGAAGGAAAAAAAATTAGTCAGTCAGCACACTGGCGCAGTGCAAGGTGTGCAGGTGCAGCAGCCAGTGGACCAATCGAAAGAAGCTACTCAATGCCTTGGGGATGGCGAGGAACAGACAAAACTGTTCGAGCTCAAGAGTTTTAACATCTTCCACCCCCTTCTCCCCCAATCGGCGGCGGATGACTCAACCTAACGGAGGGTAAAACTCCCACCACGTCATGCTACATCCACCCCTGATTCAATTTGCAACCGATCTGCAGAGAGCCGCACTTATCACCGAGAGCAGCAAAGTGGGATGGAGGGGGTTGAGCCGACGCATTGTCTCCGTGTGAACCAAGGGCATTGGGAAATAAAAGGAGGCTGCAGTGAAATAATAACAGATTGTTCTTGCGGCGTCAACGCTGATCTGTTTAGGTCTCGCTAAACCCTGTTTGTCGCATCCAGCAGCCCCTCTTCAGGATGACTATTGTTGGTGAATTGTTCTCCAGAGTCCACTAGAATCAATCAGCAGAGGACGGTAATAAAGCAGGGCTCCACATTGCATGTTGAGGGGGATCTGTTATAGTAAGCGAGAGGTGTTTGGAATCTTTCTAAGCCGAGATTATTTGTAATGGAGATTATTCGCAATTCAAATGGTGAAAACGTTCAGAAAAGCAAACAATTTTTACAGTGCATCACAAAAAGTTATAAAGCTAGAAAAGAAGACCTAAGCGTATTGACTGAAAGCATCACTAAAAAGATAAAAGTGTGCATTTCCTGCTCTGCCTGAGATAAAAGTGGGTGGCCAGCAGGGCGGCGCTCTCACCATGGCTGCAGCCGTGGCTGCAGCTTGTGTGGCCACAGCCGTCTGGTTAGCCTGGTGCTGGGCCGCCTTGATCTTGGCCTGCAGGTGGGCTGGGGGGTGGAAGTACTTGCACTTCTCGCGGGAGCAGCGGCTCTTGATGTAGTCCATGCACACGGTGACCGTGTTGTCACTGGTGTCGATCATGGGGCTGTCGCTCGGGTGGGCGAAGCGGCAGTCTGTCTCGCCGCGGGCGCAGTTGCCCCGCTGGAACTCGCGGCAGACCTGGCATTACAGGGAAACGAAAACAAGACGATTATAAGTCCCTGTTACCATCATTTTTAAAATTTATTGCATCGAATTTTAAACTGTTGCATTTTTAAACCATTTTTCTGCTTCCGTAATCAATTCCACTTTTTCAGGTTAGTCTATTAGCGCCTACGCATGGTGCATTCACTGACCAGAAAAAGATCAGAGTTTTGTGTTTTAAATAATACGATTCCAGTCAGCAGCTTACAAATTGACACCATGGTTGCTAAGAGATATCTTGTGCAAAACGGTTTCTTGTTAAACATTTAAAAAAGTCACAAATGAAACAATCAAAAGCATCAAATGGCATCTAAAATTGAAGCAACTCAGAATCAAAAGTTTTAAAGAGTTCCTTAAATCAAGCAGAACTGCTAAACCTGCTTCAATTATAACACATACGTGAATGTTCTTTCTCCTTAAACATACTCGTATTTACACATAACAAAGTACGCCTTCGTGTTCTGAAGTTGCACACACATGAGCGTGCGGCGTCGGCTTGTGTGTAGGAGTGCACACGTGTCTCAGAGGGATACGGCTTAATTAAAGCCAGCTCCATTCAGTTGCTAAGTGATGGCACTCCTGCTGAAAAACACATATAGGCCCACGCCCACGCGTCACCTTCAGGTCTTAGGTAGATTACTGCTTATCTTGATAAATATGGTGCAGAAAAAGAGAAAGAAAGAAAAAGTCTTAAGTTATTCTCCAGAGTTGTTTGCCAAGAGGGCAGATGGAGACATTCGGAGCTGGTTTCAGCGTCTCAGTTCGACTGCGGCTGTCTAGCAACTACCACTTTGACTTGAGTTAATTCCAGTTCGGATCACTGTGAATTATCATTCCTCGTTTTCACATCGTGGCTCTGAAGGAAGTCAAATTGTTCAAAGAAACGTATGCTCAAGGATGCTGGAGTTTGCACCAACTTAAGCACTAACTCATTTAGCAACAACAAAAGACATTTTGTTCGGGTCACCTCCAGTTTGTCAGCACGCAGGAGTTTCTGGTTGGAGGAGGAACCGGCCGTCACTGACACGGGTGGGCTGCCAGGGACGATGACAGGAGTGCTGGGCAGCATGTCTGTGGGGACCAGGCCCATGCTGTGTGACATCGGGGTCAGGTAAGGCGTGTAGCTCAAGCCTGCACTGGATCCCAGGCCCTGGCTGACCGGAAACGTCTGCTGAAGACCGAGAAAAGATCAGAGGTTTCTCTTTCCTGCGTTCTCGAGTAAAATGCAAGGGGGAGACAGCCGGAACCTGATATTTACTTTGCAGACAAGTAGATCGAATCCTTTGGTTTTTTTGTGAGGTTTTTTCAGTTTGTTTGTTATTGCACTGTCTGACATTAAGCAGGTCAAAAATGATTTCTGTTTGCTAAATGTCAGAATAATGAGCGAGATTTTGCTATTTACTTATATTGATGTCATGGCTTTCCAAGCTTCTCATAGGGTAATTTACAACAACCATGATTTTAAACAAGAACTTTTTTCTTGTTTAAAATCATGGGGGTGGAGGATGGCAATTAATCAGCCAAAATATTCTAAAAAGTAAAAAGTTTAGTCTGATTTAATGTCCTTCAGTAAAACATATCAGGTGCAGCTGTACAGGGCTGTGGTTGAGGAAGAGGAGAGGAAAGGTGGGGGGGATCGATGACGGGTAGAAAGACGGCAGGGGTAAAGGAGAGGGGTATGTTTCAAAGAGGACAAAGTAAGAACGGAAAGTGAGAAAAAAGGTTGCTTTCTTTTGTTCAACCTCTGTGCATCCTGGAAAGATTTTGCTGAGCAGACATGTTCTGCTTTAGTCACGCCTGGGTGTACACAGATGCAGTTGAACACATCCACACCTGGCAGAGCAGCTCCCAGTTTTAAAGCAACAATATTTCTAATGGCTTTTGAGCCTGAAAGCACTCAATGCACTGACCACGGGCTGCATGGTTGTTCCGGGGATCATGAACTGCATCTGCTGAGCCAACATGGCGGCCGCCGTCTTCTGCTGGATCAGGTTGTTCCGGCCATTGATCTCCAGCTGGGTCTTCAGGTGAGCCGGCGGGTGGAGGTATTTGCAGTTCTCTCGCGTGCAGCGTCCCTGAGAACGAAGCAAAACAGCAAGAAAAGTTGGACAAATTTTCAAAACAGAACCTAAAGCGTTACGCAAAAGCCGGTAACATAAATATTTATACCGAACGTGAAAAGATCACAATAGCAACTTTGTGTTAAGCCTATGGAACAGAAGCTTCTAGTGTCTGTAAAGAAGGTTTTTTTTTCTCATTTTAAAAGATAAAAAAATAAAAATAAAAAAAACTGTGTTTGATTTGCCAGCTTGTTATTTCTGCTCGGTGTTGGTCGCACTTTCATCACAAACTCGCCGCCCACCAAGTCGTCGGGGCAGGCAGGAAAATTGAGGACAGCAAAGAAGGACAAAGGTTGGAACTCTTGTTCTTGTCGATCTTGGAAACGCATCTGAAAGTCAGACAGAAGTGGTTGCACAAAGGATTAAAATCCTGGTGGACGAACACAATTAGTCTGTCAAAGCAGAGGCCAGTGGCCAACACACAACGATCCACCACCACGAGGAGCTAAATGCAAGAATGAGAGCGGCTGACCTGAGGGAAGATGGAAAGAAACCTGGGTGCAGGCACTCAAGAGTGGACTGATACGGATTAGACACGCGACAGAGAGGGAGAGGACACGACATGGCAGGCATGACACGGCGGGTCTTGGCTAATGTGAAAGAGGGAAAAGGGAAGCGGAGATAAATTAGAATCAGTGTAGCGTGAGGAGATCCGCTGCTCTGTCTAAATACCTCTTAACTCTGTGACACAGAGCAGCCTCAGCACCGTGTCCCAATTAGCAACATCCCCTCTCATCGCAATCCCACTAATTTCCTCTTATGAGGAAATATGACAGGCCTGCCCAGTGTCAACGCTCTGATCAGTAATGACTGACTTTAATTACTCGCGTGCGTGCGTGTGTGTGTCCTGAACGCGTCACACACAAAAGACACAAAAGAAGTTCTCAAATTTATTTATGTACCTGATGATCACTAAGAAGGACTTTGTTTTCGTGCCACATTTAGATTTAGGCCTAGGCTTTGACTAGGCCATAAATAAACTATGATACAAACATTCATCATCTGCCTTTGCAATCCATCTCGGCCCTTGTTCCAGCAGAATCAAATGTATTTGGCTCCATGTATGTTATAGATCTAGATAACAGAAATTTTTATAAAAAAATTTTTCCATGTTGAGAAAATTTGTTTTAATTTTTAAATTGAAGATCCTTTGTTTTTCTATTTTCCGGCTCTATTCCAGTTGAAATTCAGCTTCCAATTCTATATTTAGTTGTTAAAACAAAGAAAAACATAAAAAAAAACTTGAGAAATACGCTTTATTCAATGAAACAATGTTATTTATGCAAAAATGGCGTCAAGACAGAAACGTGTATAGATAGAGAAGAAAAACGAAAATTATGACAAAACAAATGTTCATGCTACTGTTTTTAAAAAATATTTTATTCATCCCATAGGGAAATTAAATGTCATGAAGGCAGGAAGTACTCCAGTAGCTGTCAGTCTTCCAGTTAATCTGAAGACGCCTCTGAATGACTTTTGCAGCCTTTTCCTTCAGGATGTCACGATTGGCAACCTGATTTTCCATTCAACAAATAGAGTCCAAATCTAAGTAAAGAGACGGCTCTAGTCAAGTCATACTAATCAGGGGTATATTAAAATGCAAATCACAGTTCCATGGGACAACTCCAACTAGCATTACAAATGCATCCCATGGAAATGAACAGAAGAATAATATGGATTATTTCTGTTCACATTTGGTAGCTCAGAAATGCTGTGACAGGGATTTGGTGCTGATGCTCAACCTGCTCCAAAGCTTTGTTCTTCCTCTACGATACGTGGGCAGACAAACAGAAAAAATACTTTTAATCAAGCACGGCTCTAGGTATAATCCTTTCGCAGTGCAAACAGCCGACCCTCTCCAAGTCTCATTGAGGAGAGAAGTAATAAAAACGGCCTTTCTTGTGCTGCAGGAGCGATATTAAACGCAACCCGCAGAGCCTCAAACACCGTCGGCGATGTTACAGTAGCTTTTCACTTAAAAGGGCTGAACGTTAATGTTTCTACACCTGTGTGACCTATGAACTCTGTTGTAATGATGCTGAGGTAGCCTCAACGACCCAATTTAAGAGCTGCAAGTGAGCCACCGATACGCCCGCACTCCTCCTTCATGCTTCACACACAAACACACAGAATCACACCTTCCCACACACGCATACTAAATCACTAGCAAGTCTCACACACACATACTCATAGGCATGTGTGTGCACAGAAATCCGGAGCGTCTGCTCAGACTTCTTCAAAACAGAGGAATAAAGTCGCCCGTCTAACCTGGCAACTGAAATCAAAAAGTAAAGTAATAATTGGAGCCTTGTGATTTGCACCATGAAATGATGCGGCGGCCTCGTGCATCAGTGGGCACCAGAAAGAAAGCGTAGGCTGGTGCGAGTGTGTGTGGGGGGGAAACCGCGTGGGAGGGTGTGAGAAAGGGAAGCTGGTGCTGAAGCTGCGCTCTGGACATCATCCCAGATCAAGGCTGCGGGGAAGCACGCCGTCGCCATAGCACCCTGCAGAGATCAAAACAAACCCACGACCCTCCTGATGACCTTAGGTAGACTCAGAAGGAAGGCAGCTACTCTTCTCTTTGGCCTGTATTCTGTTCGTTTGTAGCCGGAGAAGGAGAGAGAGATGCGTCATGGAATTGCTCATCATTATTGCCCGTTTGAAGCGACAAACTAAAACTGCGGTGAAGAGACTTGGGAGAGTGGCTGAAATCTCACTAAGTGCAGACTTTTTACCGGAAAACCAACTCGACTTCAACTATGTGGTTTGACAGCCATCTCAAACTGCTCTGGTCTTTGCATAAATTTCTATTGTTCCTTTGTCTCAGGGGCTGCCACTGGACAAATAATCCTAATGTTATATTATGAAAATCAATGTATAGAAAAAGGGTTAAATTTTTTTTAGTTAACTGTGACTGTTTGTAATGTTATGAATCATTTCATAATGTTCTTGAAAAAATAAAACTTTAAAGCTGTTTAACACACTGATCTATCATATGTCAAACATATTTGTCTTTAGATGTAATTAAGTTAAATGTGTAAGAAAAAAAACAATACTGTAAATAAGGAATTTAATTCTCTAATTAAGCCATAATTAGAGAGCGAGCCTATTTGAAGTGAAAAAATTGCCCTAAAACTTTCTATTTTCAAGACATGAAGTATTATTTATGTATTATTACACTATCTGCTGCAGTTATTTTTTTTTCAAAGGATTTTAGTGTACTGCCCAAATAACCTATAACTATAATAACGTATTGCCAGAAAGCGATTATATTATGGGCCCAAAAACCTCATTACATTTTTGGCCAGTTATTATGTTACTGGCTTTAATATGTTTAAAATGGCCCAAATTATTAGGCCATTGGCTGTTACTACATTATTGGTTGCTACAGGGCGTAACTATGTTCAGATGATAAGCCCAAAGCATTTAGATTGGATAATTTCCATAGTTGTTGCTATGGAAATTTATGATCACAAGATGTAACATAGTGGAGATTTTTTTTTTTTAAGTTTTGTAGCATAATTTTCACTGTGCAGACTGGCTGAAATAAGTCTGGATCAAACTTCAAATCGTTTTAAACCTAACTGTAGATTTGAGTTAGTTAGTTAGTTAGTTAGTTAGTTAGTTAGTTAGTGCTATAATCTTTTCCACTTTGACGAGTGTTACTTTATGCTCATACACATATATTCTAATATCCTGAATAAGACAGCAATTTAGAACTTTTTATTAACATTTAAAATGGTTGCAGTTATTTCATGATGAACTGCTACCATTTCATACAGCATAAACAAAAGAAAAGTGAAGAAAATCTAGGTTATGCAGGCACAGATAAAAGTGGAAACTCAAATTCTAATCTACAAAGCTCATAAAAAAACTAAAAGGCTATATTAAAAACCGCCATAAATCCATTCAGGGTGCGCTCTGGCTTCAAGCAGCTGTTTATGACAAGAATGGTTGAGAACGCCTCAGCGGTTCACGCAGCCGCCTTAGGTGTAGCCATAGCTACAAGGTGAAATTGCACCTTTTACCGAGGGGCTGCTCACGCGGCTGCTTATTATCGTAGGCATTACGGTGTCTCCCACGTGTACGGACGCAATGATCCATGTTTGGGATGGGATAATAACTGCTGTGATTTAGATTGGATAATCACCACCTTGCATGGCAGGGAGAAACAAACGTCAAGGAGGGAGTGATCATCAGAGCTAAACGATCAGGTGCTTCCTGACAGGGAAAGCTGCTCACAACATCGAGCTCAGTTATCATTTAGAAAATCAACTCATACACGTAATTTTGCTTATTTTTAGAACTTAAGTAAGTTACTTGTTCAATCTTTAAAGGTGGAATAAAATCTGGCTGGTCCTTCACTAGTGTGTTCAAACTCTTAATAACCAGAATTTGCTTTAATATACAATGACAGATCTTTGTTGTAGGCTACTGCAGCGATTTAGATTTCGCCAATGCACAGATGGGGACACAGAAAAGAAAACAAACAAGGCAAACATTTAGCATAGCAAACATGCTGCTTCTTCCCCCTGTGATGGAGGGAAGAAGGGGACATTATATCTGCTCAAACATGACATAGAAATCACAGGATTTAGCTGAATGCACTGTGATGTATTTTAGCTCCAGCAGGGAGAAAAGCGGAAGGGAATGAATGACGGTGCCACCACCATGTTTCCATGCGGAGGAGCCGTATTCAGAGTGTTAGTTTCCAAAACACAAAAGGCTCATCTGACGAGCGCACCTGGTCAGTTATGTCTTTCCATAGTTAAAAAATGTTTATCTCCAAGTAAACATGCTCAGACAGCCATTTTCAAGATATCAGCAGGTTTCAGCAAGACATGCTTAAGACTTCATGGGTGTGCAGATGCCCTGGGTCCTGCTGGACTAAAAGAAGCAGAGAAATGTTTTCAGGTTGATTCCATGTCCATCTGCTTGTTTTTCAGTGGGATTCC